CTTATTTTATCATTCCTAAACATTTATATTTTATTAGTTTGGTTTCATTTCCCTTGAAATGTCTGAAATGAATTAAACAATTGTTTAATATTCTATTTGGAGTTCTAGACTTTTGATGTCAGTTGTTGAGAAGGACAGAAGTCATAACTTTACATTCAAAATTATTCAGATATTTTTTCCTGTTATGATTTTCACCTAAAGTTGTTGTAGTTTCATGAGATATTTTAACAATAGGTCTAGTAAGAATGTAACAATGGCATGAATGTGAACTGGAATGTATACACTGGCTAAGTATGTATACTTATATGAATACTATTACAAAATGTAGTTCCAATTGGAACACCATCGATACAATCATTTACTAGCTGATCTAAACAAGTCATACAATCTATTAAACTACCTAACATAGAGATGTTAACCAATGTAGTTATGAGTAATGAAATATTTTTTAATAAGAAACAGAAATTGTTGATCATTCATCTACCCACTTCATTGTAGACAGTAGAAAAACACAATGGTGACTCATTCTGGGTGTAAAATGAGTAAGTAATTGGTTTTGAATGCACAGCCATGTTATAGGTAAGATCTAGTCGGAGTTATGACCAAATAATCTTGGGGGTGTAAAACTTGATAAATAATGTATTAGATAATGATATATAAATGACCAAAAACGAACACAAGGACTTTACAAAATAAGGAAAGTGATTATCTATTTATAAAATCCATTATGACCATTAAAAACAGATGTTTTAGCGGAGCTCAAGTCAATGCACCCACATCAGTGTCAAGATCAAGGTAACCTGCTTTTGTAACATATTTTAATTATTTCCTTACTACAAGTTTTCACAATTTTGGCTCAGATTCTACTTATATTCTGTGTGCATACATACTATAGTATAGAGTATGCAGTGTACCTACTTTGTGACTCACATGAGTATGACCACAGAGTGGAATAAAGGAGTTAGCGGACTAATGTTATTGTTTTTAATTTAGATTTTTGCAAATTTACAAAATTCTTATGGTATCAATCAAAGGAAAAACTATAATGTTAATTTATCTTAGTAAGTACATTAAGTACTGTAATACTGTATATATTGAGTTTTTAGTTGTGTTTCCTTTAGTGATTGTATTTAAATGTAAATAAGTTTTGTGCCATTTATCGTTAAACATGAATGACATTGTTCTGCTGAAATATTGGCAGCCGTTCAAAATGCTGCCAACAGGTACAGTGTTTACAGTGATTAAAATTCTTTAAATACTAGTTGATTGTTTACTGACAACATTACATGTGGTTTTGTAATTACTAATACATTTTCTATATGATTTATGTGTTTTAAAGGAAAATGTGAGCAAGAAGTATTTAATTGAAATATTGTAAGTGTATATAGTTTTCATGGTAAGGTAGGTAGATTTTGCTTTTGTGCTTTATCTGTCTGAAAATGTTATCACATGAAGGTCATCTATGTAAATAGCAGGAAAACTACCAGTGCCACAATGAAGATGTTTCTTTAGCAGCTAACTTAAAGTGATTCTTGATATGGATCTACAGTTTTGTGGAATATTCTTGTCATGAAATATTGATGTGATTGATACTTGTATATTTTTTACAAATATTAATATGTACTTCTCAATATCAAGTTTTTGCCTATCCTATTTCTGCTTGTGGGGAGACTAGTTTTAGGAGTTTAAATTATATCTTTGACCCAATTACAAATACAGGAATTACCAGACCATGTCAGAACTTTGTAAAAATATATTTCACAGTGAAAATGACATCATGGGTTCAAATAAATGTTATCAATCTCATTAGCTAAGTAAAACAAATAGTGACAGTGTTAAAGTACGTCATGCAGTACCTATATGTCGAAATACGATAAGGAAAACCCCTCCTGCATAGATTCACGACATTGAAACTGAAATCAACCATGATTAGCATAGAAATTACTAACAATGAGTTCATGCTCATGTTTCCTAAATGTGAAACAAATAGGAACTTTCATTTGCGCACGGAACTACCGTACATGCCGGCATAGTGATTAGTACCAAGTGAAAGCCACTCTTCGTTCAAAATGCTCAGCGAGTGAATACAATACCCGACGAACGTTAGGACGCCACCACAAGTGACTCCATTAATGTAAAAATTGCTCAACGGGACGCCCAATTGCTGCAACAAACCCCCGAAACATGGGTGCGGCCATGAATCGCAGTCAAGTTAAACAGTAACACCGTACCTAATAAGAGCAACTTGATATCTTTGGAGGCCTGGATTCCATCCTCTTTCAGGTTCCTCTCGATCTGTCGGCTGCGAGCTGCAGCCGCACGCTCCTCGGCCGACTGGGCGCACCCCATGTCGGCAGCTGTCCCTGTTCCTTGGCCGCCGGCCGCCCCGACCCCTGAGCCGGGCGCGCTCTCACCGCTCCCTCTGCATGCGCTCCACACGCGTCCTGCCGCTCCGGCGAGACCGGAGCCACCCTACACAACGTTAGCACCCAACACACAGTAACCTAACAGTACCACTTATCACTGTTCATACGACTCCGAAACACAAAATAATTAGATTAACGACCACGAATCAAATATTTCCAGGGATTTTTGCTGCACCGAACACTAAAAACACGCAACGACAATGCAAACTTTAATTGATTTTACAAATCCGTTTAAATACGAGATAATGGCGGCCGGATGACAAGCACCACACCAACTCCGCACCGTGACAGCGACCGCGCCCCGCTCGACTGACGTTCGGGTGCGTTCGGAAATCTTCGTTCGGACTCGCTCACACATGCGTGAAGGTACGTTCACACGCGAAACAGAGTACGAGCAATGCGCTAAAATCAAAGATTTGTCAAAGACAAAATCTACTTTTTTCAGACTAAAAAAATGCTGTGGCGCCAATTTTAAACAAATACCGTTTCACTTATCAGCACTCAGTTAGAAAATTCAACAAACGAAGAACGTTTTACTTACCTAATAATATTATGAAAAATATGAATCGCCTTTGTAAATCTCCTTTGTTAGTAGACTATACATTAAATAAATCTTAGAAAATCAAATGTATATACTTACCTAGATTATGCCTTTGTAATTATAATTAATTTGTTTAATATAACAATCCCAAGCTACTACGAAGTAACCATTGACCTATTAGCCTAAAATCATCAGAATTGCGGGCACCTAATACCCATTGGCTCCCTAGCAAGTGGCAATTGTCATTTTAAGGAGGAGGCTTTTAAGAGTTAATAGACCCCCACAGATGGGCCCTTAAGGGCTGATGTTCGGCTGGGGTTGAGGGGCAAGCGCAATGAGGCACCGTAGCCTCAGCCCGGAACAAGAGAAGGAACAGAAGGGTTTTAGTTAGTGAAGAGTCTGACACTTCCTCCCGCTCGCCCATGGGCAGGAGAAGTCATTTGATGATTTACCCCTCACAAAAAAAGGAGCAGGCTTTTGTTTAGTAGTTGACGTCTTTCCGTTGATGCTCGTGATGATTATTGAGATTGAAATAATTGTTATTGACCAAATCAAAGGCCTACTGTTAATTTAAAATAAGGCTTCGAGAAAATTGCGGTTTAGTGCTTAGCTTTAACCGGGTTAGTTTAGTTTAACCGAAGTTAGTAAGGTCATAGAAATTACTCATGCACAATAAGTCCCGACCTCAGTGGTTATAATAATTTCACTCTATTTTATTTATTCTTAGCCACAACTGCCGAATATATGCCTTCCTCGCTTTGACACAAGTGTTAACTCATCATGTAGGTTTGTACAGACTCTGTACTTTTTGTCTTTTTTTAAACGTTCGTTCAGCGTTCTACGTTATAGATGAGTCCTATATCAAATCCCAGTTTATGATAGAAGTTATTCCGGAGGATTATCAAACTTCCGGAATACAAAAATAATGGCATTTTAGTTCACAATAAGTGCATTACTTCAAGTATTAATTCAAGGAACGCAGCTGCTATCATATTCGTTTGCGGCCTGTGGCTTTATTGATATTATCCTGAAAATAAAATTCCTTAGGTCTAGGATCGTAAGAAAAATTTAATGCTTACGTCAAAAATACTTACCGTACCTATATTCAAAATACAACCTAAAAACAAACGACATTAGAATTTTGTTTGATTTATTATTAAAAAATCTTCTAATTATGTAGTTTCCATAATTTGATGGTGTGGCAACAAATAAGCTTGAATTTTAGTCACCATTACAAAAAATAGCAGTTCTATGTTTCTAATTGTTCCTCCAAATTAAGAATAATCTATTACCCCGCCCTGGTATAATGTAGGTAATAAACAATTTCTTTTCTCCGTTGTTATCGCATTTATAAATCCCAGTTTAAAGTTGTCGTAGTACCTATTCCATGTTTCCAAACAACTTTAAGCTATCCATGTAAAAATTGTTTACACAATCAACTAGTAGCATCGTAGATAGTTGCCAAAAAGGGGCCTAATGTACACCGCTACAAGTTTTGGGGTCACCGATCCCCTTTACCCCTTACACAAACATTCCAATGCATTTATGCATTAATGTAGGTAGTCCTCATTCAATATAAGTAGATAGATGTTTGCTCTCGTTGATGAAACGGACTCAGACTGAACAGATCCAGTGGCAACAATAGGTTGTAATACGAGATGGTATATCTGCCACGAAGACTGCCACGTACCTTTTGGTAATATATAGACAGACACGACTCACTAGCATAGCATTATTGTAGGTACTCTATCTGTCTACCTGATTTAAGAAATAACCTCAGTTGATAGGTACCAAATAATGAAATAACAGCTTGTTACTAAGAAGGTAGGTAAGCATTTGGCATGTTCCATAAAGAATGTAGTGCCTAAACCGCTGGTTACTTACACGTTTATATCATTCAAGAAAGGTAAAGGCTCCACATACAGTGGAGTACCTAGTCAAAATAAGTGCAACATGTATCTGCCGGTACCTAAGTATCTTAGAGTTAAGTTAGGAACTGTCTATCCAATATCCATCCATTCACAAAGTGTTCCATGTACAAACGTCAACGCATTTATCTACATTCCCAAAACGCTGATTGCCGGCTTCATAGTCTGACTGAGTCAATAGAGCTCGAACCGGTGTGCGCGCGCACCTGCTGCCTAGAGAGAGATAGAGAAACTCCATTACCAAGGAGCAGCAGCTTAATGTCCTTGGCCGCCTGGATGCCATCTTCCTTGAGGTTCTTCTCGATCTGCTTGCTGCGCGCAATGGCAGCGCGCTCCTCAGCGGACGAGGCGCAGCCCATGGCGATAGCGCGCACGGCCTGGCTCGCTACGCGCGGCAGCGCCGTGCCCCTCGCATGCTCGCGGCCCGTCGTCGCGCGCAAGAAGCGCCGCGCACGCGCGAGCGAGCGCACGCGTGCTCTGGGACCAGGGGGACGCGCTCCAGCGCCACGCTACCACCACGAGACGGCCGGCACGACGTTCCGGCTTTACCCACGCGATACCAAGCACGACGGAGCTCAGGAGACAAACGGAACGTTAGTAACCGACCGAGGTGGCGCCGCGGCGTGAACCCGCGTACGAATGACGGACCGCGCAGGTCTGGAACGGCGCGCTTACTGCGCAGGCTCCGCCGCCGCACCGCCTCCGCGCGTCGTCCTCACGACCGCACGGACGCTGCCCGCCCGGTACCTCCTCCCTCACATACCTACTAGCAGCAGTAACACCCTACGTCAAACCTATAAGAACAAGGCTCCCTCAACTTATTAGACTTATAATAATGTACCGGATGTAGGGTCTAAAATTAAGTTAACTTTACAGATCTTGCTAATTACGTATCTACCTCGCTATTTTACATTATGAGGATACAGTGCAGAATCTATATATGAATTTATTTAATGCACAAGTAAAATTAAAATTAATGACGTTTCTAGCGATTAAGATTCGCCATCGAGGAGAATAACTAATACTGGAACCCAAAAAATAAATTTTACTAAAACGAGGTACACAAACACATTCTGCCTTAATAGTCTGTACCTACCTACTTCGATATTTTTCACTTTGCCCAGACAATAGGAATTTTGATTATAACGAAGTGCCATTTGCATTAGGGTTTCATTTCTTGTAAGTAAATATACCTAACTTACCTTAATAATTAAAAAAAGGAACGTAAGTATGTTTAGTAGGTACCTATAATGTTTTGTCTTGAATCATATAACAAGAGCAGGCCGTAATGATTTTATCCAAGAGTGGCGAGAGACGTAATCGCAATGCGCGTGCGGCGCGTGTTTCTGTAGATAGAAGTAGGTAACTCTAATAACTAAGGATGTGAAATTATTGCTGTTGCGTGCAGAAAATTGTATCGAAGTCCGATCATAATTCGATCGGACTACTTACTCTACGCAGATCTACCTACTCACTTCATAGGTTTATAGGTATTATTAGGCATATCCTTCCTTCCCCTTTGAGGGCATTGCGAGCGTGGAATCTTGCCTAAATCCCGAGTTGGTTTTAACTTCATTAGCACTCTTAGAGGAGCATCGTTCCTTACGGGCTTTTTGGGCTGTAGCCCAGAATCTCGTAAACGTAAATGGCGGGCAGCCCTCCCCAACATAATAGGCGTTAACTGTTAATATAATAAAAATCTTCATAAAAACATTTAAGCGCTATTAGCGCTTGAACATTATATTCAATAAATCACCGGATTCTGATGCTTAAATACTGCAAAAGATTTTTTTTTATGATGGGTCGGTAAACGAATATATATGGATTACCTACCTGATGGTGAGCAATCAGCGCCGCCAATGGACACCCGCAACAACAAAGGAGTTACGAGTGCGTTCCCGACCTTTTGGGGATTAGGGATTTGGGAGGTTTAGGGATTGGGGAGAAATTTGGGGATTTGGAGAGGCCCAATCCTTCCGATTGGGCCTCCCCATTATGCCATACGTACCTTACCACATTGGTATCACTCCGGTCGAGCAGCCCCATTCGTGCCGAGATGATGAGTAGGTATGGCTCTCCCACACTTATAATTTTTATGCAAGTTTTTCTTTATTTAGGTACCTACATACATAACAAAGAAATTGGTACAGAGCCTTCGTAAATAGCATTAGTTGACTAATTTAGTCACACACTAATTTTTTTCAGCCTAGGTTCCCAAATTCACGATGCGCCAATGACCGTTCCCCTCAATAGACAAGCTTGAGAACTCTAACTATGCAACGCCTATTCGGCAAATAACTAGGGATACCTACCTTGACCTTCACATTGTATGTGACCGCCTTACACGCGTTATCCCTGAAGCACCTGGTAGAGAACGTGGATAGAGTCCTCAAACGTAGAACGGGTTTATTATTTAAACCAATTAGGCATAAACCAACAGCCTGTAAAAGACTACTGCTGCAAAGCCCTCTTTTCATACGGAGAAGGTTTGAACATTAATCACCATGCTTTTTAAATGCGGGTAGTTATTTTTAAGTTTCAGATTAAATGTGGGTGATATACCTAAGCAGAGTCCTCCATCCCCAATTCTTAAATCTCTGACTCTCAAAACGCGTCGTATTTAGAACTACCTACATATTATTATTCGACGTAGAGGCTGTCCATTGGCAATGCCGATTGCCATACCATTAAGTGAACCATCTGCTCGTTTGTCGACCTATCCTATGAGAGAAAGAAGGAAAAGGAAATGAGTCCCATAGTTTAAATATTGGCAATGTGAGTGAGCTCTCAAGAGTTGTTCCCCAAAAGAAGCCTACAATCTTACAAGTACGTACCGAGTTCATTTGTTAGGTTTGTTTACATTGTTTCGACATACGCCATAGCCCATAGTTCCAATCGTATCAGTCCATAACAACCCACATCCATTTGCATAGTGCATACAGGTATAGTCGAAGGTGTGTGTCCCATTTCAAAATCATCAAATGCCTTCTATCGCCCAGGGTCCCCACCCTGGGCGATAGAGGGAGGGAGTGTAAGACTTACTGACTTAAAACCCCCGTGCCTTCTCCTGCTCTAGGCCGAGGCCGCGTTAACCTATTGCGGTGGCCCCGCAACCCCAGCTGGGACCGTGGCCCGTGATTGGTAAAGACATACAAATAATAATCCGCCGGTTTGTGTCCTATTTCATTTAGATAAAACTTGTCTAAAGGGCCTCTTCGTAGTTGGCTCCGGACCCTCGTACGCCTTCCAAATGACCGTACTATACCATAATAATTCCTGCGAATTTTATAGCAACTCCGTGTAAAAAATCAAGAGAGTATGTAGAAATCTCCATGTGGGAAAGCCGTGCTTCGAGCATTTGCATGAATGTGCTGGCTCAATCACAGTGACACAACGGTACTATAGAAAACGGGCGTGAATCAATTCTTGCGTTGGGTTTACATGTTTGGTGTTGCAGGTGGAGACCCGAGGGCGGCGCTAATTGCTTACTATCAAGAGATACCTATGCTTATTCGTTTGCTACTGCCCGTACGAATCAACTGTGCACCTTACTGGAATTGGCCCCCTTTTTCTTTAATACGAATTATATTTATTAAAAATATCACTACGACAAAAAACAAAACAATAGAAACAGCTATTAAAAAGCACTTGAAATCGATAAAGATTAATCTATACTAATATTATAAAAAGATTAATTTGTAAGTTTGTATGTAGGGGGTAATCTTTGGAACCGCTGGTCGGATATCCAAAATTCTTTTACTGATAGATAGGGGCAATGTTCCTGAGTGCTATAGGCTATAAAACATCACGCTACGATTAAATGGAGCCGAGCAGCGGGTGAAACCGCGCGAGAGTAGCTAGTACCTAATATTTTTGTGACAAAAATAGTTCCAACAGAGTGACGTCACTTCACTGAGTGCACAGTTTATTCACACTCATTTATACCCTATGCCGTAATGGCAATGGTTATACCCTATGCCATTACATTTAAAGTTTTCAACTTTTCTATTGTTTATTCTATCTTACAAGATCCTTATTAGGTTACCACTGACCATTTGAAATAAAACATATTAATGGAAAGAGAGGATTTTTCTTTTAAAAATAAATAAGAAAATTACAGAGACACTATATTAATTAAGGATAACTGAGGCAATGATTTAAATGTACAGGGAGCCATCAGCTGGCCCAAGATGGTGGATCCCAATAAGTAAAGCATCTACTAGAGTCCATACACCAAGTCCACCAAAACTGAAGAGCTTTCCAATCCCTTCTTGCCAGTGGCCAAGGTAGAACCGATCAGCTCCAAAGCCTCCGAGAGTGAGTGCAAGGATCACTGCTGTAGCCCAGCGAGTGCCCGCAGTCCATGAGCATTGGATCTTCTTTAGGAACCTGCGTTTTCCTAAACACAGCACATCATCTGACACTGTGCAGTTAGTCCTGAAAAGTAATGAGTTTTCAATTTTTTAAATGCTTATGTGCATAAAGTGGGTAGTTTCATATGTAACCACAAAAGTTTGAAGAATACATTGAATTGTTATATTGAAACAAAATATAAGGAAAATTAATTATTAGTTTAGGTATGATTCATGGAGTGTGTAAAAGAACATGAATAAAATATTATACTAACAAGTAAAATTTCAGTGGAGATGCAAGAGAATTGCAGTTTGCTTTCTGGTCACATCTATGTTCCCATTTCTCTGTTTGATAACAAAATCTACACATTGCTGTCCTATTGAAGGTTTTACTACCCTGTAAATTAAATAGATTCATTATTAACTGGTACTGAAGTAATTTACAGACCAAGAATGATTTATAGATGTGTGTGTTCTTACATTGCAAACAATTTTTGGTTTAACAGTGCAGGAGTAATTATAAAGACCGCCATATCGACAATCTATGCTTCGGTCACAAGTTATACAAGGGTACAGAAGAGAGGAACATTCAGGGGCGTCCTGGTCAACAAAGTGACAGCTTTTCAAGTATTCTTCATTATCACTGAAATTCACACCCTTGTCATTTGAATCATCCTTTATTTTGTTTTCTTTGCTCTGTACATCCATATGATTGTTAGCTGCGACAAAATTATTAGTTTAAAACAACAGTGAAGGGCAAAAATTATAGTATAAGTAAATTATTTATGCTATTATCAACTTACCCATATCAGTAATGTGTATAGTATTGAATATAACTAATAAAACTAAAACGAAACAGTCTCTTATACTTATTCTTAAAGGCAGACTTCTCGGCATCTTGAACGTTATACCATGGTACCAATATTTCAACAAATCCCTTCAACTTGTGCAAAATTAGTGAATTTCGTTCCTACATAAACAACAATAATAATGTCAGATTGTCAGAATAACATGACAGATGTCAATTCGAGAATGACAGTACTACAAAAATGGCAAGTCCACTTTGTATATCTCAATATTTTCGTTCTGAAATGCAATTAAGTTTATCACGATTTAGGTGTAGATGGTGGACGTTTATATCCATTATTAGATTCAAAGATATTTCAATAATTTTGGTTGGAATACTAACACATTCTTAAAGAAGCAAAGCAGTAGAAGATGAAGCAGTACATTTTGTAGTTATTATAACAAGAAGACAAGGGCAAGGCCAAGGAGAATTTAGAGAATCCAACCTTAAAATTGCTAGTGATTACAATTATGTTATAGGGTAAAAATCCCAATTATCAGCACTTTAAGAGGATGACCTAAGGGCTGATGTTCAGCCAGGGTTGCGGGGTAAGCGCAATGTGGCACCGCGACCTCGGCCCAGAGCAGGAGAAGGAACAGGGGTTTTTTAGTCAGTCAGAGTCGGACACTCCCTCCCGCCCGGCCCTGGGCGGGAGAAGTCATTTGATGATTTTCCGCTCACAAAAAAAGAGGATGACCTAATTTAAGCCTATTTATATTTGTGATAAAATGACCTCTCACTATAATAAACTATATAGAAGTAGTAAAACCACATTGATTTCATTGAGTATTAAAATATAATTTCACATTTATTACATAAAAATTATCAAAATACATAACAATTACAGAATACTTAAGGCACCAGGCTAGAATAGATCAAACATTAAAATTAGAATCGAAAACGCTTAAGGAATTAAAGTCATCTCCTGTTAGACCGGCTAAATCTTCTAGAGCGGGTTTTCTGCTGCTATCTGACATCTCTGTAATGGTGGATAAATCTGGTACGGCGCAAGTAACTGGGAATATATGTTTGAGGTTGGACGCGTAGCTCCCAGCATTCAACATGGCTGATCCTTGCCCCACCAAGTTCGTGTTATTGGTTTCATCTTCGCTCAATAAATACCATTTCGCCGGACGTGAAGCCAAAGGAGAATCGTCTGAAATGTCTTCCGTAATAAGGCTGTTGGGTGTTCCATACGGGCTATGGTATACTGTTTCGCTTACACTATCGATATCCGTTTGAGTATCTGAAAATGAATACAGTAAAATTTAATGAAAAAATTGGAGGTTTATAGTAGTTATATATGCATGTAATGTGTATACAAACCGGAGAGATCTATATAAATCGGAATCGGATATCAATCATAACTTTAGCCCCATGTATAATACAGTTGGAAAAATCGTTTTTTTTTTTTCAAGAAATGAAATCCAATTGCACCTATGCCTGATGCGGGAATCGGACCAGAGATCTCTTGATCGGTAGTCGCAATAACAACTCTGCGACTCAAGTAACAATGATACATTATTTATTTTTATCTGTATGACTGTTGTACTTACTTTTGTACGAGCAGACATCTTGAGCATTGTTGCAAAAGAAATCAGGTGAAGGCGAAGGGCAGTGTTCATCAGCGATCTGAGTTTGATTGTTCCACGCATCGCCAGATTGCAACGAATCGTCTAGAGTTATAACGGATTTGGAATTTTCTACAAACTCTAAACTGTCACCTACACAGTCATTAGCAAGTAGGCACGTTTCTGAATGATTATGTATTAGTTCCACACTTTCATTAGCAGGTTGAAACACCTCTGACTCAGTGTCATTAATACCGCTATCCGTGAAAACTGACAACTTGCTTGCATTTTTAGCAGATTTCGAACGAACTTTCTCGTAACCCAATTTATGTTTAGGCCTCTGTATTTTAACTCTGATAATGTCTTTCTTCTTTCTGCCCTTTGGTTTTTCATTAGCGATTGTAAGGTTGGCGATATCTATTTCTTCAGTGATTACTTCACCGCCTAGATATGCTTGGAAAAGAGGCGGACATGACTTTCTACCGCCGCCATGTGAGAAGGATTCGACATGTTCCTCTTCTACGACAGGATCCACTTGAGGAGCCGCAGATTTCTTTGATCCCTTTCTTTTCTGAGGAGTGGAACATCTCTTTTTGGCTTTAGCTTTCTTTTTTGCGTCACTGGGGCAATTTGTAACATCTACTTCCATAACGCTATCTTTATTTTCTGTACTTGCTTTTCTACTCACTTTCTTGGCACTTTCCAGAAGCAGATCATGAAGCTTTTTATTCAGTGTATCTGTTGCAGTTACTTGTTCGTTTATATTGAAAGTGTCGATTTTATTGAGCAAGGATTCTGTTACCAATCCTTGCCCTCCACTGTGGGGATCGCTTGCTGTGTGATAACTTTCAAAATCACATTCCTGGTTCATGAGTGGTAGGGTAACATCGACTTCTGATATCCTATAATTGTAATTGTCACACGCCATTGGCCCATTTGCGTCTTCATTTGGCAATTCATTAATAGTTGGGTAATCTTCAGCAGAGTTAAGAATCTCTTTCGATATAGATAAGTTCTCTACAATCGATAATTCCGGGGACATTGGAAGGGACATATTGCTGGAACTGCCGATATCACTCGTGATTTGACCAGAGTTGCTGGTGTGATTATCAGTTTTAGGAGCTGATACATTTTCAGAGGGCATTTCTTTGGTAAAATACGTTTCATTTGCATTAAGGGAAGTTTCGTGTATTGGTTCTAAATGCCTCGATAGTACAATCTTTACTTGGGGCATAAGGAGTTGGTAGGAGTCTGACCTGTAAGCATCGGATTTTAGAGTTGAATTTTCCTGAGCAACCTTTGTGGGCGCATCTAAAGACGAGTTGCTGGAGTCGTTGTATGCATCACAGTGTAAATAAGGATAGGATTTATTTTTTGAACTTCGACGTAACGAATTTCTTGTCTTGATCACGAAGCTGGACATATCCAGTTTTTTCTTTCTCCTTGTTTCTGGTTTTGCCGGGCTGATGTCCGAATCCTGGTACCCTTGAGTACTGTCCATAGAATAAGGCGCCAAATGATCAGGCGAAGAGAATATCCTCGGAAGATTTTCAGCACTGTCAGAGAAAAGAGCAAAATAAGGATTAGAAGCGCAACAAATAGACAAGCACAGAAGCTAAAGTGCAAAGAAATAAAATGTGCAACAAGCAACATGCGGGTTATGGGTAATGGAAGCAGGTTTACAAACAAAGCATTTAAAATTAAATAGCACTCACCAAAATCTTACTGTAACACTTTGGGCTGATTTTTCAATGGTTAGATAAAAGTTACCTGGAGAATAATTATGATGCTGTCGCGTCAAAATGTTTGTATAAGACAGTGACAGCCACAATTTTATTCCTCAGATAACAATTGTCTGACTATTGAAAAATCAGCCTATAATAAAATTAAAATCTAATTTAATTACAAAAAAAAAAAGAAATAATACACAATTTACAATTGAAAACTTTATTAAAGTGAAATATTTCCACCTGCTCCCATTCTTCATTACACAGTTCATTTATGAAGTCGGTACATGAGCTGCTTTAACTACTGCTTGCTATTTACAAATAAATCCAAAGTTTTAAAACTTAAAGCCAATATTTAGTGGCCATACACAAGAGACTTGTAAGATATTCAATGTAATGTAAAATTACATGCGATATGATTTTAAAACAACTCAATATCGGTATCAGTACAATTCTTGTACTTTTTTCCTAACATCTAACACATAATTCAGTGATGATTTTCCAAAAATCATTTTCATTCTACCACATTTATTTTGAAATTAGATTTACAGAGTATCCTAGTAAAAGACTGTAATTATATAACTATCATATAATAATGTATACTGTATCTTATAAAAAATAAAATAATTTAATAAATAATTGACCCCAGTGTCATAAATAATATACAATAAGATTTAGTTTTACCACCTGGAAATATAAAATAATAGCTTTACGCCCCCGGCTTCGCCCTCGTAGCATTTTGACGTAGCCTATGTCCAATGCCTGTGCGAAATTTCATCCAGCAATATCCAGCCGTTTTGGCGTGATTGAGTAACAAACATCCAAACATCGTAACTTTCGCATTTATAATATTAGTAAGATATTGTAACATTTAGTTTAGGCTAGTGGGAAAAAGCAAAAGAAATGTGAGTTTTAGAACTGTCCAGTTGGTAATGTCTAAATTGGGTTTCTGTTAGTCAAACTAACAAGTAAGTTGAGTATTTTTTCATACGAAATGTGTATAAATATTAATAAGTTAGTTAACAGAAACTTAATAAGATATTGTGATATAGGCCATTATAATTATATTACGGTTAAAAGATAGGTTATGTAAAGAAGGTTTACACGGCACGAGTTTATGATACACTCATTCAAACCAAAAACCAGTGAAAATACTAAACTGATTTTAATGAAACTTGCTACTCAATAGCAATAAATCAGGGTTTCGAAAACACATAAATGTTTAAATGAAAAAAAAAATCTACTACATTTTTTTTAAACAAGTGCCGCGTTAACCCTTTGAACAGAACACAGAGTAGAAGATGCAGTGAAGTTAAATAATAGTAGTAGAATAGAAGTATGATTTAGGTTAGTTTAGATAAAAAAAACAGATTAAAGGATGTATAACTTAAAATAAGGATTGATATAAGGAATGTGATGTTTTAACATATAATTTTATATAATAATATGATTAAAACTATAACCATGGGGTTCTCTGACTATAAAAAGTTATCTTTATTTACAAATTATATCTACTTATAATTTGAACTCAAAACCGTTTAGCTAAAATGAGCTATCGGTAATAGCGCTAGAGACAAAATAATTAATTTGACTATTGTAGTTTAGATTATGTAAAATATGTGTATATCAGATACTTGATTTATTTAGGAAAAATATTATGCTGACTAAATTCTAACACATATATAATATGTAGATCAAAATGAATGGTGCAGATTCTTTAGAACCAACCTAGTAAGTTTGGCTATCACTGTATTTTTCATAAAATACAGAAAAGAGATATACAATAATTTTACACTACACAAAATAATGTCGCCTTTCCACCTATCATCATCGTTACATCCATAAACACGTCTAAACTTGCTTAAAAAAATAAATTTTGATGGCAACACTAAATTAATGCTATCTCTTTCCTGTGTTCAAAAAAAGAATAGTGACAACTTTTTTTTGTTTTTGTATATTACACATCACATCCAGTGGACTTATAGACTAAACAACTATTTTTAAAATACCTTTGTGTCATAAAGGTAAGTAGAAATCTATTGGAATTAGGAACAGTGGCCAGCAGGTCAACCTACATTGAACAATCAAATGTTAATCATGTTGTTGTAAAACATGTACTTATTATTATTTCTTGTAACACCTTTATATCATGTTTTAAAGCGAATAAATATATTAAATAATTGTATCAGTTGTGGGCACTTAGGCCAATGATGATGATAAAAAAATTGATGATAGGTAAGTATTTCTTCAAAGTTACGCCTGATTCTATTCTGTGTAAGAAGAAATAGTTTGAACTGCTAGCCACTGTACAATAAACCCAACTGGATTGGATACATAAAGAATCTGCTTTATGAATGCTTAACATAATTTGATGACTTTTAGATTCAATTCATATTTGTTACAATAAGTTCTATTTTTACTTTAAACAGTTTACCTTTTATACGTTTTTTTGTTTGTTTTATTGTTAGCTGTCTTAAGTGAAAGTCTCTTGCTCCGTGTTGCCAACATGTATTTGACTTCTTCTTCTTCTTCTTCTTGATCTTTGGGGTTGCTAGTGTCTAAATTCTGCTTCGATCGCCGAGTTTGCATTGTTTTTAAGTTGTTTGTGTTTACAGTTTCTGTAGAACAGAAATATAAATGTTACATAACAGAATGTCTTCCATTTTTGAAAAATCAGTCCCATAAAAAAACACAAATATATTATTAAAAAATTAAAGTAAAATTGCCAATGTGTGTTAGTTTAATTACGATTTCAGACAAAAAAATCTGGTTGCTTTCATCTGGTTGTCATAGAATAAGAATTTATATTACTAAGTGCGATTTCGAATACAATTAATTCGTTGTCGTCGGCTGTCGTTGAGAGTAGAGCAAAATAATGAATTACATATTATACATCCAAGATTTCTAATATTGCAGAAAAATTAAGGTTATGGTAACCAATGAATAATTATTATTATTCACTAACTTCCTATGTGTTAAGCCTCGGTGGGTATCACCTATCTAGATACCAAATTTCAACCAAATAGGTCCAGGCATTTTTGCGTGGAAGAATTACAAATATACATCCATTCATTCTCAAAAACTTTCCCATTAATAATATTAATTGGATAGTATGATATCTTACCATTTAGTACTTTACGGGGCGATCTAGTTTGTCTCTTGGGAGATATTTCTTTATTATCAACGGATTTATTTTCCGTCTCTTTTGCCTTCTGTCGACGCGGTCGGCCATTTTCTATTGATTCTTTTGACTGTTTATTTGTCACATTAGATATTTTTTGCTGTTTCTCAGGCGTGGGTAACGATGATGATGATGATTTTCTTTGTGCAGGCTGTTTCCTAATAGAAGATGTAAGAATGATGAAAAAATATAGTTAAAGGTCGCAATTCCAAGTAACAAAAACCTGGCTAAATAATATACCTCTTACAAAATGTGGCTAATTAGGAAAAGTTACTAGAATTTGAATACATATTTGCTTATCTTTTTAGTTTTCTTCTTTTTTCATAAAATAATAATAAAATATACCTTTTAGTGACGTTACTGACTCCATTCGGTTTTACATCTTCTTCTTGGTCTCGTTTCTCAATCTCTTGAAATATCTCTTTCTCAATTTTATTCACTTTTTCATGTACTTCTGTAAAAAATATTTATAAACAGTCACACAATTTGACATTGAGATAAAGGTATTGATCTGACTAGTTGGAAATTACAGTCAGATCATTATAATTATGCTAACCTGGGTCAACAGTAACTACAATGGGTGTTGACAGTCCACTGTTCGGTTCCTTAACTCCATTGGTAGCGGCGGGCTTCGGTGGCGGCTCGCTGACAGCTGATTCAGACTCTTTGTGGAAGATCTGCACTACCTGCTCTAGTACTGGGTGGATCTGGGGCCAATGACCTTCCAAGTGCACCTCCTAGAATATAAAATAAACATTAAATTTGTATTTTAAATCGCCGTCTATAACTGTATAGTATAAAAGAAACCCGCTGTATCTGTCCCTATGTATGCTTTCATCTTTAAAATTATCCAACAGATTTTAACGCGTTTTTTTAATAGATAGAGAGAGAGATTGGAGAAAAAGGTTTACATGTATGATAACCCTATTAAATAGTGGAGAAATTTAGTATCAGCGTTGCACCAGTGCAAAGCTGGGGGGGTCGCTAATTTATATTATAAACGTGAAAATTTTAAAGAACGAATGGGTGTATGTTATTTTTTATCGCGGACAAAACTAGTAGCATTATTATATTCTCCATAGCGATAGCTGTCCAACTCGTGCACGTGTTCACAAGCACTATTGGTGGGCCTCATATAACTAATGTATATGGCATGAGATTAACAATTTATATGTAGATGGGATCGTCATGAATAGTAATATATTTAGTAGAAAAAAATATTACCTCATTATTCTTTGTAAATTTTATTTTTATTTTTTCAGGAGGGCCCATTTGTTGCATTTCTTTCTTCTCTTCTAGTTGTGGTGAAGGTACATCTTTGGCTATAATAAAAAATATAGGTCAATGATATTTTTGAGGGGTGGGGGGGGAGCAACGTGATAAAATGCTATCTTTAGTTGTTAGATAACAATAAAAAGTTTAAAAAAGCTTACCAAGACCATTCGACGGTTCAGCCACTTGTACTAGACTAGGTCTTGGAGTTCTGAAATAGAGAAATAAAATTAGATTTTTTGCAAATTAATGTGTGTTCCTTGCCACTCACGGGACCACAGGGTCCCGGACTTTTGGAAGGCGTACAAGAGGTCGAAGCCAACTCGCAGAGGCCCTTTGAACAACTTTAATATAAGTGAAATGGGACATCAGCCGGCAATTATCCCTGTATGCACTATGAATGTGCACCCAAGGACAATCCCCGGTTGATGCAGGACTATTGCGAAATGTGGTAAAAAATTATAGGGTTATGGGTATGGGTTGCTATGGACTGGTGAATATGATAACTATGGAAATACTATGTTCCTGCCCCTGACCAATATTGACACATACGGACAAAAACAGGCAGGGGGTGACTGGCAAACTCAATTAATGGGCCCCCGGAACCGGCCGCTAGCATGTAGCGACAAGGGGGCAACATACGTTGAGCTGCTTGGGGAAGGAGAGGTATCCCACTGCTATCAGAGCAATCCCGGAAGTACGGTCAAGACCCCTACCAGCATCTTACTGAGATACATCCTTCCCCCGAGTCTCTTTCAACTCCTACTCTTGCGAATCTCCACTCAAGCCAGCCAATTAAGGCAAGAATGAGGTGGGAGGGCTTGTTCTTCATCAGTGTTCACTCTAGCTCGTCACGAGGACTAACCAGAGAGAGAAGAACAAGAAACCTCCCAGGAGTCAGGTCCGTGGGGTCGCCACTGCTCAACAGCTTGCCACAAGCTGCCTTCCGGATTATTAATATTAGAATAATTAAAAAATAGTAATACTCCATTAATTTAAACTTAGTATAAATTTTTACCTAACTTAAGAGATCATTATGAATATTGATGTTTTTTTTATATTACGAGTCTATTTTAATAGGACATTTTGCATTGTAATTATTCCTATAAATTCGTCCAACAGTTTTACTATTTATCATCATCATCAGCCGGAAGACATCCACTGCTGAACAAAGGCCTCCCCCTTAGACCTTCATGTCAAAGTCATAAAAAAAGTCAAGTACCTTATTGGGTTAGGTTGCTGAACGGCTGTATTATTATCTACTGGGTTTTGTTTAGGCTCTGTAGCTTCATCTAGTAACCTGGAAAAGATGAAGAAGGGAATAAAATTTTGACCTGATTAAGTATGAAGATTATAACTACTAACTTTACTGGATCTGAGTATCGAAAACTATGTAGTAAACATGCCAGAAGCAAATAAAAAAAAAGAAATAATTCACATGTTTAACAACTTCCTTACATAAATATTTGACAAGGAATTCGAAATAGTTGAGTTTGCTGCGTAAAGTATGTAGGGCAATGCTGATCATGAATATGAGCCCCGTGCGTGGCTCGAAACTAATCAAGTATAGCATCGTACAGTTACGTTATATGTAAGTAAGTTGTTATTATGTCGTCGCTGAGTAAGTAATTATACGCTATACAACTGCATTTGAAGTTTCATGAAATTTATAAAAAAACGGCTGTGGAATATATTGGAAGATATCAATCTAAGGTAAGTTAGTAACAGAATTATGTGTTGGTGATGTCAAACAACTACGATTACGTACTATATTTGATTAGACAAGGCTTGGACTTAAACCCTTTCTAAATGCAATGTTAATGTTCTACACTTACTTCTTCAACTCAGCAGCCTTCTTCTTTTCCTCCACATACTTCTGTTTCCAGAACAATTCTTCATCGGATTCACCTGGAATCGTCAGAAATAACCAATTACATGGAAAATGACACTTAAAACGATAGAATTAGAGTCTATAGTACATACTTTCGGGTAGGAATGTTACATAGTTCTTGATGATTTTGCCATCTTTGACAACTGGGTATATTCTTTTGCCGTACATGACGAACAGTCCGCCTTCCTCCTCAAGTGATGATATCTTGGCTGAACGCGGCTTCCTGCAATGTTAGATATTTACCCCGATATTACAGAGAGAAAATTTCTCTTTTGTTCCGCGATTATTTTTGAATGAAGCAATATTTTGAACACTTATTTGTTCGTATTTGTTTTTTTTATGTAATTGGTCGGCAAACGAGCAGACGGATACCTGATGGTAAGCAATCAGCGCCGCCCATGGACACCCGCAACGGAGTATTTACGAGTGCGTTGCCGACCTTTTAGGGATTAGGGATTTGGAGATTTAGGGATTGAGGAGGGATTGGGGGCGGGGAAGGATTGGGCCTACGGTAACCTCACTCACACGGCGAAACACAACGCTGTGGTTGTTTCACGCCGGTCTTCTGTGAGGCCGTGGTATTACTCCGGTCGAGCCGAACCATTCGTGCCGAAGCATGGCTCTCCCACACTTAATATTTGTTCATTCAAGTCAGCAATTTAGATGTACCCTGTATATAACATGGTGACACCGCTCATTCAATAGTTAAAAAAGTTAGTTAGTGTCCAATACACCTTTGCATAGAACGCACGTTGTTTAGTTATCACCTTCAGTATTTAAGGATATAAATACCGTCGAGAACTCGAGACATTCAGTATATTACTGAATAATTATAGTTTAGTAGTTCAAAATTTAACGCAAATATTTACTCTTAATTTTTTCACATTCTAGGTTTGCAAGTATGGATAGATTTTGATGAAAAATGGCACAGAAACTATAATTAGATGCTGACAGAAGCCAGTAGGTCTTTTTTACAATACAATTCATATCACATACAGAAAAGCTTAACTTAAAAGTGGGTCGTTTAACAGCAAACCTTTTATGTTTGTCAAATACAAAGGGTTTTTCACAACTGTTGTACCGGGGTCGATATTTTTTTTTGTAGTGAATAGAGTATCCTTATATATAAACTTAGAATTGATATAATACTCACAGATATTTCCTAGTCGGTCTGTTTCTACGGCCGCGAGGTGGCGACACGTATTCGTCGCTCTCACTCTCTGAAGTCCAATCACTTGTATTTGAGTGAGCTGCATTTTGTCTGGAACGTTAATGATATATCAATATTGTCACAATCGAAATATATAAAAGGCGTGGGAGAGCCATGCTTCGGCACGAATGGGTCGGCTCGACCGGAGTGATACCACGGCCTCACAGAAAACCGGCGTGAAACAACCACAGCGTTGTGTTTCGCCGCGTGAGTGAGGTTACCGGAGGCCCAATACTACCTTTTCCAATCCCTTAATCTCCAAATCCCTAGTCTCCAAAGGTTTGGCACAACGCACTCGTAACTCCTCTGTTGCGGGTGTCCATGGGCGGCGCTGATTGCCTACCATCAGGTAAAATAAGGCTATTACATAAAAAAGGAGAAACTGACTGACCTATCAACGCACAGCCTAAACGGCTAAACGTAGACACTTGTAATTTGGAAAATACGTAGCTTAGGTATCGTAGAGTTGCATTAAAAAGGAATTCTCGAAATTCCTATGGGAACAGGACAACAGTGTTTAAAATATCTTTTATGCGCGTGCAAAGCCCCGGGCGGAAGCTAGTCATTCATAAATATCACACATAGGTGTTAGGTACTTACTGTGATGTATTGTGCGAAATGGTTCGTGCTCGACGACTGACACGTCTTTTGCGCTTTGAGTGTACTCCTCCACCTATGAAACAAAATGGGTGGGGATAAATGCATTGGAAAAACAAATAGATTGTTTATTTCATTACATTCCATTTCAAGGTTTGTAGGGAAAATGTTTGGTAAGAATTTCATTAAAATACTCCCTTGACAACATGTCCTAGCTTCTTCATAATCATAACTGATAGTCTTCAATATCGAAGCATAGTATTATGGTCGTAATTAATTATGTAAAATAATCTGTCCAAGTTTTGATATAGAACTCGTTTTTTAGCTTAATTTCTCTAACATAGTATTGACGAACTGAAATTAATATTTCCCTACATTACCTGGGACCAAACATACATGCGAAAAAACCGTTCATGCATAATGAATAATTAAAAACCGTTTATGATGACAAAACGTTCGAAAGTTTATAATTTCAACAACACAATACTGGAATATCTTTCGAAGATTTTGCCTTAATGCATTTATTGATGATCTCATTCTGTGAAATAGATCAAGCTGTATAAAATAAAACCAATAAATACCACAGCCATACAAGGCATGAATATAAATGAGAAACCAAATAATGAAACTGCACTATCAACCAACCAATTTAGGCAAAACTTATTAAAACGAATCTGTTCACATTAGAAACCAAATGTATGAAAATATTTAGAATGTACCTCTTATATGAAGTTCCATGATCCCTGTCACATTGTATAAGAACATGCCAAACATTTTTCATGTAGATACTCTACAAGCAGTGACCAAGATGCATACGTCGACGTACAACTTACCACTAGTTACTCCAAACATGTGAGCAATAGCTTTGTCTCTTTCTGTTTTACTTGATATCACACCAACGCGTTTCTTTTTCTTCGGCGGAGATGGCGTTGTTTCAGTGTCGGACTCCGTACAAGATTTCCGCGCTTCCTTAGAAACTTTCGCAACATTTAAATGCGAATTTGGTTTCTCCACTTCAGTCTGCTTCTTATTCTTCTCAGAATCACTAGATTCGGACATGTTATGTCTAGTTTTATTGAATTGTTCGTCAAATAAGCTGACGTTTTGCAAGCAAGGGTTTATAACCGCCGGCGGCAGTTCCGTTGTGGCATCTTCTATTTCAAAGACATTTTCGATACGGGTTGCTGCGCTCGTTGAAGGTTTGCACTCATCTGTACCTTTACGCTTGCCCATTTTCACTGCCGGAGCTTTAGTAACATCGCCGTTAACCTTTGGCAGCTTATCGTCCTGAGCAACATTTCTTTGAGATTCTGTTGTTGGCTTCCCATCAGATTCCGAAGATGACTTCAGCTGGATGTGAAGACGCTTTTTCTTTTTATGTGTGTAAGTAGACTGATCTTCAGAAACAGACCTTTTCCTTGTAGCTTTCGCAGCATTTTTAGTTTTATCACTTACATTTGAAACTTCTTTTGTAATTTCTTGTGTCTTTTGGTTATTGACTTCAACATTCTTAGATTGTTTATTCTTAAATGCCTCTGGATTATTTGGAAGAGAGGCGTCTACTGTACTATTAGAGTTATTGATGGCATTCGATTGTACTTGAGGTTCTGTATGTAACTTATTAGAACTTGTATCTCCTGCAAAACTGTCTGGTTGTATTTCTTTTTCAACAGAGACAGAATCAATTAGTTCCGAGTTGATGTCAATATTCTTATCAGTGTTTGTTTCAGCTTGCATTGAAGAAATTTCCTCATCCAAAACAACTCCTTCAGATTCATCTGCATTTGAATTTGTGTTCGGAGGTCTGTTATCTGGACAGCTTTCACTATCTATTTCTTGGTCTAACAATTCTTCAACAGTTTCTGCTCCATTATCATTTCCTGTACCATCGACTTCAGCTTCAGCACTCTTCGAAGTGGCATTATCATTGTCAAAGTCAGGAACCTGTTCATGAATGATCTCAATGTCTTCAACATTGTCAGCTTCTGGCACACTCTCACTCTCAACAATTTCCATCCGGTTTTCTCTGTCAGAATCTTCTGGTTCTGACGCAAAATCATCCAGTACTTCTTGCAGCATTGGTGTTAATGGTTCAGAATAAGTTATACAATCCCTTAGAGATTTGTTAGCCACAGATTGCTTTAAATCTTGTATTTTCTCTTCAGTGGATTCCAAATCCCTTTTTATATCCTCCACAGTTTCATAGCAGTGCTCAAGTATGACTGTGTCAGCAGAAGATCTATTTCTCATAGGTATCTTTGAACATTTTGTATTCTCACCTGCATTGGTCTCCCCTTCATCATTTGACGGCTCATTATCTTTCGGATTATGACCTAAAATAGAGAATAGTTTATTTTGTTACAACTATTTGCAATGAAAGAATGAGCTTAAAATAAAACTTAAAAGCTTTTATAAAATAAAAATAAAATATAGATGCATGAAAAAAATGTTTTATATATTATGCAAAGGCTATATAACATTTTTATCTTACAAATATTATTATAACGCCATGGCTTCGAACTACGAGCGAATGAGTTACGTTTCGTACCATTAGAACTGGAGTCATCACTTATAGTGTGAATTTCAAGTTTATTCTTGTCTTTATCTGCTAGATCACATCTGAAATCATTACAAAGCCTTAATAAAACAAACATGGCTTTAAGATAAGTCACAATTAACATGATAACATTGATTTAATTTATGAAAAGCAATCTGTGGCGCGAGCAGGACATTAAAAATACAAAAAGAATTTTTTTTTGTAATAACTGTCTTGAGACTTACATATGAACTTATAGAAAATAACAAGTTAATCACGTGAATAAACTAAAAAAAATACCTACTAACTTAAAGAGTCATCTGTGCGACAATGCTCATGAATGGCTTACTGTGACTTAAAGCTAGTAGTACTTTATCAGTTTATTCACATAGGTAATTAGTAACTTATTGTCTACGTTCTTCATTCATAAAATTGTAACGCTAGCAGAATATCAAATTTGGAATACACAATAGGCTGAACAATAAGACAAAATTGTAAGTGCCTCGTTAAAACTTATATGACAGATATTAAATAGAGTATTTATCAATAAATCATTAAACAGATTTTATTTTCAGAGTTTATTCTCCATATATCATGGTATTATGCACCTAATAAAACTATTATTATTACCTGGCTCTGAAACTGCTAATCTGTTCATTAGTTAGTTTGTAATATGGATTGTGTATGTCCGGTAATATCCGTTTCAAAAAAGTTTCTTTCAAACTCTGCCATGTTCTATTTGTAATCTAAAAAGAAGAAAAATTCAAATGAAATGATAGCCTATATGGCGTGGTCAAGGCAGATCAATAACATAGTCATGGTCATAGTCACAGATAATCAATACATAAAGATCTTGGTTGTTCTTCTTCACGGTGTACTTTGTTCTTATTAATTATCTTTATCTACTCTCCTGATCATCATCGGACATCCTGTCTTGAAGCACTTGATGACAAATGACTTTATCAAGCAATGTATTTTTTTTTACATTGAAATTGTCTATCAGCCTAGCTGATGAGTTATTATGAGGACAAATTATGTAAAATTTATCAAGGTGTAATTTAATATTTCTAAGCAGGCTCAATACTTAAGAAAAGGGTCTATTTGGTGTAGATTTATGAATTTTATGGGTTTAATCAATGGAAATATATTTTTGCATGTCTGTCTCCCTAGGAGTATGAATAATATTTTTTTATGTTATAATAAATTTCATCCAGTTCTTATACCTGTAGTGTTTAATAAATATGAAAAATATATATATTTCTTGTAAAGCCATAGCCAACAAATAGCAAAATTGTTATAATTTTTTCTATTATTTCTGACTGAAATACTTATTTTTTAATATTCACATTCATTTTATAGATGACAAAGTATACAATGTACAAGATCTCATTCAAAGTCTCGTTCTTGGTTGTTTGTTGTAGATATTGTTCTTACCTTTGTGTTGGCAAAATCAACCCACATCTTCCTAGCTCTTGTTTCACTATACAATTTGTTTTCCACTAAATAATCGACAATAGTCTTTAGCTCTGACACTGTATAAGGTCTCCTGAAAAGTATCAAAAATTTTACAAGTCGAACTAAGTAAATCTTAATGTAGGTAGGTATCCACAGTTAACACTTTCAAAACTGATAGCATTGGTGTATCGTTGCTTTGTTATTACAATCTAAATTAGGAATAAAAATAAAGCATATATAGAGTCATCAATACACAATCTTACCCCGACATTTTGAGCTGTATTTTCTATTAAATTCCGATAAATAGATATTGGTGGTCACTGTACATATAATCAGTTATTGTATAGACAGAGAAAGCGCTTTAGTCAGCCCTAATCATCATCATCACAACAATTTGAGTAATGTTCCTAACAGAATACAATTCACGTTTATCACGGTAAATTCTAATTAAACCCTCTCTTAAAAATAACCTGATTTTTCGGCAAAATTTATCAATCAAACGGACCGATAAAAACACTTCACTTTTCCAAACTTAAGCCACCACGATTATTATGTTGCAAGATGAAAAAACAAACAACAAAACCAAATTATTTTTAGTCGATTCTTCTCGACATTTTATGTTTCTTTATGTCATAAATCTTTCGGAATTTCCATTACCAGAAACATTTTGTAGATGTTATGTTAGTTTAGTTTGTAGATTTAATTCAAACACGAAAGATTACAAATTGTACAATCATTTATTATCCTGATGCATAGGCATGCTTACAGTATATACTCTATTGCTCTTTGAGTATTTGTAGTCTGTATTCTTGTACCTGACATTGACATTCTAAAATTGTTGTTGTTTGTCAAGTGTCAATTTGAGCGCCTGAATTTAATTTGTTTTTATCAAAATAAAGTTTTTATTTATCATTTTACTTTACTATTGAATAATGGAAAATAGTGGTTATCTTTCCGTATCTGATATATTGGTTACTAACGAGAAAATTCCATGCAAATTTCTGCATGATTTACCAAAAATGGGTTAGGATTTTGTGACTGTATAGTATATCTTTTGGTTAGAATAAATAATCATCAACTTATTTGCTTTAGGTTTCTTGGATCCGTCGGCGTCTGAAGACGATTTGAAAGCCGGCACAAATGTAGAAATACCATTGTGGTTAGCTGAATCTCTGCATTCAAGAAGACCGCCATTGGTTTCGGTGGATTTGCCGAAAATTTATAAAGATTCTTATAGAGAAATTCTAAACGCTGATGCTTGTACTGTAGATATGCACAAATTAAGTCAATACTTTTATGAATTTGGATGTTACATAGCAAAACACGACATCAAAGGCGAAGTTTCTAATACTCTTATCAATGTAAGTTGTTGACTCCTCACATTTATTTTTGACAAGCAAGAGAATTTCAACACGTAAATGACTAATAAATCTTAAATTTCAGACCTTCAGGCAAAGGTTTAGGATGTTGTTAGCTGCCAGTGTGTCAACAGATTCAGTGGGGGCTATACAGCCTCTATCAGTTAGCGAGCGCCACCAAGCTGCAGCAGCTGCTAGTACTGAGAGAGCTCTCTCAGAATGGCTGCAGAGAGGAGAAAGTGTACTTACAACTGCAAACATGGTTGCTAACCATAGAAAACGGAAAAGAGCTGAAATGGAAATGCATTAAAAAACTTTAAATATGAATTAACCCCCATTTTGATTATAATTACTCATTTAATTTTGTGCTACTATTTCATTTCCTTGTATAATAAAGAATAGAATAATACTTATGCTAAGATGATCAATTTTGATGGTAACTAAATAGTAAAAAGTAATTATAATTTTATGATGTATTTGAAAGATGCAGTATGACTGATCAAAGGAGGATGAATATAGTAATATAATTATGTAAGAAGTTGTTTTATTACAGTAATTTTATGGTACAACCAGCAACCTAATGTTGAACAGCTTTTGCCTGTGACCTTGTTTCAATGTTTTTTTGGCCTCACACTATGATTTTCTCCTAAGTAGTGAGTGCACTCACACCCAGACCCCAAACAACCATTTGTGGATCACACAAAGAGTTGTTCCGTGCGGGAATCGAACACGCGACACGTTGCTTGGCAGCCAGTGGCCCAGCCAGCGTGCCAACCATGCCGTCAAATATGTAATCAGACATTTTTCTGCCAACTGGCTAATGTCCCGCGGTTTCACCCGCTGCTCGGCTCCTCCATAGTCCATATCGTAGCGCGATGTTTTATAGCCTCTATAGAGGCTATAAAACATCTACATATTACATATTTCTCGATAAATTGACTAACCAACACAAAAAGAATTGTTTGAATAAACAGCTTTATAATATAATTAAAGATGATATCGGTACAAACATAGCACGGGCGTATTGTTTCACGCGTTCTTAAAGGGCCAATTCCAACGTTAACGGGCCCAACAAGGCCGTGTTTAACGGGTAGGTACGCTGTTATAGCAGCGGTAAGACCTTTCTTTGAGGAGTGGCTTGAGAGACGCCACGGCATTCACACCTTCCGCTTGACGCAGGTGCTTACCGGGCACGGCAGCTTCAGTAGGTTCCTATTTCGGATCCGGCGGGAAGAAACGCCCGAGTGTCGTCATTGTGAGGACCACCTTGAGGATACCGTGGCGGTGTGCCCTGTTTGGGTTGAGCACCGCCGGGTCCTCGAGGAAGTGATCGGCAGCGGCGACTTCTCCCGTGCCCGGCCTTTGTCGAGGTCATGGTTCGTAGCGAGAGGAACTGGGAAACTGTCTCCTCTTTCTGCGAAGCTGCGAAGCAGTGATGCTCGCAAAGGAGGAGCGCGTGAGGGATTAATTCTCCTCACGCCCCAGCCGCCGCAGTAGGCGACACTCCGGGCGTCGGGGATCGAGAGATGATCTCCGGCCAACATAAGCGCGGGTCTGCGGACGACGACGAGTAAGGGTAGCTCGTCGCCCGAACGGAACCAGACCGACCGTATGGCGCGTAGCGTTCTGCGCCTCAAACAGCCAATAGACCACCACAGACGGTGGCCTACAGGGCTATTGTTCAGCTGGTGTTGCGGGGCAAGCGCAATGAGTCACCGCAGCCTCGGCCCAGAGCAGGAGTAGGAACGAGGGTGCGGGGGGGGGGGGGTATTTAGGCAGAGTCTGACACTCTCTCGCCTTATCTTGGGCGGGAGAAGTCATTTGATGATCGTGGTTGCGAGTTAAGCGCAATAATATACAGCGTCCTCGACCTGGAGCAGAAGGAATGGGGTATTTTTAAATCAGCAAAAATCTCTATTTCATTTGACAGTGCTTCTTCCCCCTTAGAAAAAAGCTTGTTCTAATTTTAACCTTTTCATTACGCAAATCACGCATCTACATACACCATTCTAATGTTATGTTGATAGCACAGCAATAGTAATTTCGTGGAGGAACCGAACCTGCAACCCGTTACGCAGTAGTCACTTACCGAGCCATTAGGTATTGTGCCAGTCGATCTAGAAAATCTGTTAAACTTGTACCAAATTTTAATGAATATATTTCTTTCTTACAACTAGGTAGGTACTCCACATAAGAAACTAGAAAGAGATGTAGTTAGTGTAGAGACTGATAGGGCCTAATATCACTGGTTTCAGGTTATAAACCACTTCGTTCCTTCTCCTGCTCTGGGCCGGGTACCGTTTAGATATACCTAGGTACTCTGTGGGGCCGGGTCGCGGTACATTATTACGTACGTTTGCACCTGCAATCTTGGCTGATTGCATAAAAGCTTATCTGAAATTTACGTTAATAGGAAATTCACTTTTATTTACTTAAAGCTTTTTATGTGATAGGTCGGCAAGCGAGCATACACATTACCTGATGGTAAGCAACCAGCGCAACAACAGAGGAGTCAAGAATGAGTTGCCGCCCTTTTGATGATTAGGGATTGGGGAGGGGAAGGATTGGGCTTCCGGTAACCTCACTCACATGGCGAAACACAATGCTATGATTGTTTCACGCCGGTTTCTGTGAGGCCGTGGTATCACTCCGGTCGAGCCGACCCATTCGTGCCGAAACATGGCTCTCCCACACTTTATTTCGTTCAATGGAGAATCTTAAAATAGAACCATAATCGATACCTACATTACATGTTTGAAGTGCCTACAACGGAATCGAAGGAGCTCAACTGCTATCAAATAGTAAACAGGAAACGCCTAATTAACCACAGAAATTCGATCACGATTCTAATAATAAGCTGATTGGAACAGAGGAACTGCAGCTGAATGTCATTGCTATTTATATAGATGAGAAAGTTCGAGCGCCCGTCAATGACTGGTGTGACCGATGGTTGTTGCCCAGGGGTGAGCCTTGTGAAAATTTAAATAAGTCATAAAACAGTACCTAATTACCTAATCATTGTTATGGGTACCTACATTGTGCGCACCATTGAAAATTTGAGTAGAATCTACCGTCAATATTTTTTTATCTTTTCTTGTTTAGTCATAGGTACTTGTTGGATGAAGACGTTGCAGATAATATATACTTTTTATATATCAAGCGATGAAACTCGACTCAAGAACATTATGGATCCTATATTAGGTGTATAATTTAATTTAAAAATATTTGTAGCGTGAGACAACCATACATGTTTTATTATAGGAAGTAGTCTATAAAAGCGTTTTGGCAGTCTGATCCAACTCAGTCGTTCCGATTGTTTACTTGTATCCTCACGTCGAATCCGCACAATATGGAGTTCCCGAGAATGTGTCCAGCGCGTTGGTCAGACGAAAACTTTAGCATGTGTCCAGCACGAGAATTTATGTGCCCATTCTACGACATGCATTCGCGTTACTTTCGTCCTTGGAGGCTAATGGACAAACAAAGCATCTCTAAAGAATTCGGATCTACAATAGAAAATGAAAAAGGCAACTTTAAAATAACTTTGGACGTCCAACATTATCGACCAGAGGAAATCAGTGTGAGAGTGACAGACAATGAAATTATAGTAGAAGGGAAACATGAAGACAGGCCGGACTCTCATGGATATATCTCGAGGCAATTCAAGCGGCGCTACGCGTTGCCAAGTCAATGCCCCGGAGAGAACGTCACTTCATCCATGTCCTCAGACGGTGTCCTTATTATAATCGCTGAAAAGAAATCTTCCAGCGAGAAACAAGAAAAAATTGTACCAATCAAAATGTGTGGCTTTACTCCGAAAACGACTCAGGTTGAAAGTAAAATGACTTCAGAAATTATAAAAAATTCAGTTAAGGAAAATATCAAGGATACAGAAGACATGACTCGTAACAAAAATGGCCAAATAATGCTCAAAGAGGAACATAGTCGATTGCTAAAGCCAGAACTACTGAAAGAGACTATTTCAGAAACAAATGGAGACAAATTTTCGTCGAAACAAGTTGTTGAAAGTAAGGGGCTGGTTGAGAAAAAGGATGGCAAGGATATTGGAGTCACAGCAAGTAAGATTGAAGAATCTTTTACAAAATCAACTTTGGGAGTGTCTGGATTGACGGAAAAAATTGGGGAAAAGAGTTTAGCCTCGACATCCGACATGTGTGGAATGAAAACAATGTCTAACATGTCTAAAACAATTATTGAAGAGTCTTCTTCATCATTTAAATCATCCTCTTCCATGTCTTCTACCATGAAGGCCAGTGGGAAGATTGGGGAATTCACAAAAGACATAATTAGCGCTGAATTAAAGGAAGCAGCAGAAAATGTATAAATATTACTTGAATTTTACTATATAATGTTTATTAATCGACTATAAAAGATTTTACATTTATTACAAATTCAAACCTTAATTTAATATTAAGTACAAGTAATTGATTTGTATATTGAATAACAAGAGCATTTTGTATTTTTATTGTAGATAAAATCATTACCTTTTTAAATAAATCTCACTTTGGTGAAGCATATTAATATCAATACAAAAAATTAGCATTACACAATGAGATCATGGAAATGTAATATCAAATGTATGTAAACCTACTCTGTAGTAATTTCTAGATAAATATTGTAGTCTTGACGTAATTGAGGCCAAGGTTATTTATTGTATGTCAATAATTGATTAAATATGTACAACAGTATTTGTAAGTGGATAAACACTAGTTTTCTCCTCCTGTAATAAATAATTCCTGGCACTAGCCGAATATAAATAACACATAGAATTACTGCAAAAATGAAAACATAACAAAATAACAATTTACAAAAAAAACGCAAACATCACACCAACTACACTTATAAATTCACTGGGTCCACTATACATACAAGATGTCATTATCCTTATGTACTATTTAAGTTTCTTCGTCACAACACTCTTGCACCGCATCAACATCATTGTTTTTATCACTAACCAGTAGTTCAGAGGTGCAGCGGTACGGACGTATTGATTGTTAACATCTGTCATTCTTCACCGATGGATTGAGGTCATGGAAGTATGCATGGGCCATAGCATCATCGGCAGGCATCCTCAAGGCTGGGTTGCAGGTAAGGAGACGGGCTAAGAGGTCTCTGCCACGAGCTGGTAGACGAGGTACAACCTGTGCCAGCCCTAAGCTAGGCTGGTACACTGGCAGGGGCTTGTAGTCTGGCAGTTGAGTAACACCAGGCCATGTATCCTCATTTGGTGTTCCTGGAAGTTGTAGCACAAATGAGATTAATATGCAGCTAGCATACATCTTGTTAGTAAGGAAGACCTATAATTTAATTTGGAATTACAGATAGACACTTGTATAGGGTTTGCCTTATCCAGCTACAAATATTTTTTTTTTTTTATTTTTCTTGTCTCCGAAATAATAAATTTCAATGATCCACTAATCTAGTGGAATGTAGATTTTGTAGAAACGGTTATAAGAAACAGCATAAACATTAATATTTCCCTGTTAGTATTACAAAAGTAAATTGTAGAATTTATCAGTATCAAATAAAGCTCAACAACTTACCCAGAAGCTTGAAAATCCTTTTCAATTGATCATCAACATCAGATCCAGGGAACAAAGGTCTCCCAGAATTAGCAAGCTCAGCAAAAATACATCCAGCAGACCACATGTCAATGCTTGTCGTATACAGCTTCGCGCCAAATAATACGTCCGGAGGCCGGTACCACAGCGTAACAACCTCCGCAGAATAACACTTCACAGGAATCCCAAATGCTCTAGCCAAGCCAAAGTCGGCTAATTTCAACTCGCCATTTTTGTTTATCAATAAATTCTGCGGTTTCAAATCTCGGTGCAGGACATTGTGGCTATGGCAGAAAGCTAGTCCACGAAGCAGCTGGTACATAAAAGATTTCACAACATCCAAATCTATCTCACCATTCAAACTATCGAAATATTTCTTTAAATCCTGATCACAGTGTTCAAATACAAGAGTCAATTTCTTTTCACTATGCAAGACATCGTATAGCCGGACTATATTCTTATGCTTCAGTTCTTTCAGCAGACATATTTCACGTAAAGCAGAGGACGGTACTCCTTCATCGTCATCATCTAACCTCACCCGTTTCAGAGCTACTATTTCGTGGGTTTCTTTATTCTTGGCTTTGAATACCGTACCATACGTCCCCTCGCCGATCTTTTCTAATTTTTCGTACTTCTGCATATTTCTTATTTAGACAGTAAAACAGCAAAACAAAAAATCGATTGTTTATTCTGCTATTGAAGGAGGTAAACCGCTCCCCTCTCCTTTCCTTTCAGCAAGCTTAATGTCATTCAACAAGAAATGACAATTATTTTTGACAGTTTCTTTAGTCAATACAGTTCGTAATGAAACCAAAACAATACATTTTGTAATATTTTTAGGTCCTGTTTATTATGTACATTTCTTATTTTATTAACACAAAAAGTATCTAAAAGATAATTAATCAGTAACTTCATATTACTCTTAGGGGAGATCGTAAATGTATTTAAAGGATTCAGTCTATCTTATGGTATAAGAGAACCAATCTTCGTAAACGAGAGCATCGTTCAAAAACTACGAACAGAAAAATATTATAAACCGGCAAAAATATTTTTATATCCTAAAAACAATTAGGTTTAGCAATTCATTAAATAATAGTAAGGAATTTGATATTTGGTTAACTTTAAAAAACAATTTTCAATATGAATATATGCTATAAAATAAAATAAAACTACAGTTGTACAATGTTTGGAACGCCCTTGTGTTTTTCTAAAATAACATTCACTCAATGAGCAACAAATCAATTCATTCACAAAAAAGTCAAGTCAAATCCAAAAAGTTGAATTGTCATAATCACTATTATTATTTTGGAAGGACTTCTAAATTTATTCAATTTGAATTATTAAACTGCTACGGTGAGTCTACTGTATTTATTAAATTATATTAATTTTAGTTTTTTTATTGAAATCTATTTACTGTGCGAAAAGGGTAAACATTATTACGTATTAGTTGACGATGGGTACATAATCACGAGCGCATGTTTGCAGATGAGTGAGGGCGAAGGAACTTTAGTGGACAAGTCGGAGAGTAGTTCGTTCGAAGATCTTGCAGCTGCGGCAGCTCAGGAGATCGAGGAGGCTAAGCTGGCCGAGGCAGCAGCTGCCAAAGATAAGACGGATACGGATGAAACAAAAACTGATGAGTGGCAAGATGTCTTAGGGTCAGGCGCGCTACTTAAAAAGGTCAGATAATAATGTGATTACGAATCACGATGTTAAAATTAAAACAAATTTAATCCAACACAATTATTTTTTGTAAATACCCTCTTTTTAGAATCAAAGATTTTTGCTATTGAAAACATGTCTGTCTATCCTCATGAATATTTCTATAGTATTTTCGTTTGGCAGTTCTGATGGCCAGTATGTAAAAATATGTAAATAAGAATCAGTATTTACCAACCTATCAACCAATCATTGTTTCTTTTGTTTTGCAAAGTATTCATAGTGTTAAAACAACAAGATTCAAATTTAAAAGCCTTTTGTTTATAATACATCCAATTTTCAGATATTAAAAGTTGGTGAAGAATCAAATGGTTTGCGACCCCACAGAAGTGATATTTGCAGAATTAGTTACGAGGTCAAAATTAAGGATACTAACCATGTGGTTGAGAAGAGAGATCATGTCAAAATTTATTTGGGAGACAATGAAGTGAGTATTATTGTTAGATTTGCTTTTTAAAACATCTTTTATATTAATATTACATTTTATACTGTGTAGTAATTAAAAAGTGTTCTGTCTGCTATATCTTAAATGGGAGAAAGTATCTAATTTGATAATTTCAAACTATATGTATTTAGTAATAATTAATATTCATAATATAAAAGAATCCCTTAAAAGCAACCAGTTAAAATAATGTTTTTTTTTTATTTTTGTAACATCACAATGAACATACATTATTCTATATAAATTTACCAACCATATTACATGGATTAAAATGCATTCCATATTCAAATTATATTAATTAATCAGTTATTGACTTTATATTTTTGTTACATTATATATTGTCATATCTAATCTTATATCTGTCTATCAGGTATAACACTTATATATTTAAAAATTGTGTTTGCAATCAGTGTAGGTTTGAAAGTTTTATCTTATCAATTTTCTTAGTAATAACACATTTTGTGCTATTGTTATTGTTCTAATGATAATATATGTACATAATTGTTAGTGTAACACTCTATTATTATTTACGTCATAGTAAATATTATGTTTATTTGACATCATTTGTAATTATAAATTACTTAGTATTTTCTCTTATCTATTTATGGTTCTCATCCTGTAGTATGAGTAACTGTTTATTTAATTAGTGTTGCAACCAAAGTGGAATTGTGCCAAAATGGAACAAAGAAAGTGCATGTACATTTACACAAACAAAAGTATGTAAAACTAGCTACTCTCGTGCGGTTTCACCCGCTGCTAAGCTCCATTTGATCGTAGCATGATATTTTATAGCATATAAGCACTCAGGAACATTGTAGCTATCTATCAGTGAAAGAATTTTGGCAATTTCATCAACGGTTCCAAAGATAACCCCCTACCTACAATGATACAAACTTACAATTTTATAATATTAGTATAGATAAGTTAAATAAATTATCTTAAATTTTTGTTACATTCCAAAGGGTACAGATGTTCGAATTTTTACAGTCAAGCATACTTTTACCTTACCTCCTGACCTTTTTTTAGTGAACATGTAAATTGTTGTGCATATAAATGAGGTTACATATTTTTATTCCCTTACCAAAAATTATCTATGGTATTGAACAAGGGTAGACTAAGAAAAAATCTTACAAAGGTTCTAATTATGTGTGTTGAACTGTAACCCCTAGGGCCTTAGGCTAATGGATTGTTTATGCTAAACAGTTTTTCTTGACAAAGTACATTTTAGAAAAAAAAAAATATGATTATGAAATGCTAATGGTGTAGTATGGTTTGTATGAATGTCATTATCATCATCCGCCTATAAGTGCCCACTGCTGAGCAAAGGCCTCTTTTCACATATAATTAAAAATTATAAGTCCAGGTTTGCTCACGATGTTTTCCTTCGCTGTATGTCAGTGGTGTCTAAATAATCATAGAAAGAAGATTTTGAACCCTCATGTAGAGCGGGTGCCTTAACCTCCAGGCCACCCTGACACACACATATGAATGTGATGGAAGCTAAAGAAGTATATATAAATCATAATAGGTAGTCTGTAATTTTTGCCTAATTGTTTGGACTGTATATTTGTTTGTTTGTTTAAGATACTACAAGGGCTGGACTTAGCAGTGACAATGATGTACAAAGGCGAGGAATGCATTCTACAAATGGCACCACGTTTTGGTTATGGCGAAACTGGACTGAAGCCTGGTGAGAGCCTTGGTTTGATCGGCGAAATTGATGGACCAAAGTATGATGGCCCAGTGATTGATGCGGATACTTGGCTGGAAGCCCGAGTGGAACTGCACGATTGGGCTGAGGAACCTGAACACGAGACCTTGCCTATTGCAGAGAGGATGGAAACTGGGTAAGTGGAGAAATCTAAGACTTTTTATATAAAGACTCTGTTTACAGTTTTCATCTAGATATGGTGCAGCAGTAAATAATTTTCTCCTGCTACTCCTCAATATAAAAAAATCAAATAAAGGGGGGATATAGCCTTTCAACTTCTGTCCAAAAGATTTTTTGAAAAAAAAAATCGAATATCAAGCTTAAATATAGACCTATGTTCTAACGACCCCATCTTTTCGCAGCTTGCGAATTCACGAATCAATGTTTACTTGTAAAAAAATATTGCAAACATTATGAACCGGTATTCTTAAAATAATACGTTTCTCAATTTCGCGGGTTGTTGTACCCGACACTTAATTCTAAGTGGTCACATAGGTTATTGACCTTTACATGTATATCTTACGGCCAACGATTATAAATAAGATTACAGATAATAACTTTGCATGCGTAATGCACTGTTTAATCTATGTACTTAAGGGGTTTTTTTTTAATTCCATGATGTTTTTTCCATTTGCAACGAAAATTATTACTTAGTAGGTACCTACGAGTAGAGTTTAAATATTGAAAAACTGAAGTGAAATTATTATAGTTGTAATGATTGAGTTCCAAACGAGTTTTAGATGATATCGCGTTATTTTGAGTTTGTCCCCGTCTACTTACAGCCTCCACCGAAGGTCGTAATAATATTCACTTGATTGACCTTTTTTTAAACTGAATATGTAAAGTTACTGATCATAGTTCAGAAGGGGGTCTGTATCCATTTCAGTTAATTCCATAGTTATTTTTAATCAAGCTTTTGCCCGCGACTTCGTTTGCGTGGAATAGGGCCTTCTTGTAGATTTTTGGTATAAAAACTATCCTATTTCTTTTCTGGAGTTCCAAACTATGTCTATACCAAATATCTCAGAAACTGTTCATTTGTTTTCTTCTTCGAAAAGACAACTTTAGTAGTAACATAAAAAAATATAGAGGTCATTCTATAAAACCAGTGTGTCATGGATAACTAAATGTCTGCATTGTTTCGTTAAAAACAAGCAAAGTAAAACGTGACTATAAAAAAATGCGTGCGATCCAATATTAGGTAAAAGATGTAGAAGACCTTAATATCAGGCCGATCATATACCAATATATAATGTTATTAATTGTTTCTACATGACGTCACTGTATATATTTACATAAAACTTGGTTTGATGTAGATATCGAAACCTTGACATAAAAACGTTCGTTGACAAGTGTTTAGCATTGTCTTTGGAAATCGAGGGCAGTATGTAGATACGCGTATTTTTTGATTATGTTATTGATTGATTGTGACGTTCGTTTAGCGGTCAATAGCATGAATGCTTTTCACAAGACTTTGGGTTCTTGTGCTTAGCAAAGTTACCTAGATTTAATTTAAAGTTCTAGTGACAGCGGAATATAATAAACTAACGACCCGCCCCGGATTTGCGTGGGCGCAATACTGATGCTAAATTTCTTCACTTTTTAATGCATTTTGTTATATCTTCATAAACGTTCCTCTCCAATCATTCAGTCTGTGATAAAAAAACGCATCAAAAGTCGTTGCGTGTTTTTAAAGATTTAAGCATAATTTCCTCAAAGAGCTAATAGACCACCACAGACGGGGCCCCATAGGGCTGATGTTCAGCCGGGGTGGCGGGGTAAGCGCAATGAGGCACCGCGACCTCGGCCTAGAGCAGGAGAAGGAACAGGGGGGTTTTTAGTCAGTAAGAGTGTGACACTCCCTCCCGCCCGGCCCTGGGCGGGAGAAGTCATTTGATGATTTTCCCCTCACAAAAAAAAGCATAATTTAAAATTTTATAGGGATAAAGCGACAGTGAAAGTGACTTTGTTTTATACTTTGAAGTGATGATTCGTCATCTTCTTACGTTTTCGGTAGGTGTTGAGAGATATATTTTAGGAGATTACCTCGCCTCAAGAGTAATTCTATAGATATGCAGGGCCGGTTCCTGGACAGTGTGAGCGATGCGACCAAACCGGGCGCTATCGCCAATCTCCAAAGACGGGAAACAATATAAACCTAAATGTGGGATAAAATAATGATTTTTATTTAAAAGAGCGCCATTTGTGGGAGATCCGTGCTTTGGCACGAATGGATCTGCTCGACCTAAGTGACACCACGGCACCCATCCCAAAATCTCCATATCCCTAATTCCCAAAAGGGCGCCCTTGTAACTCCTCCGTTATTGCGAGTGTCAATGGACGGCGCTGATTACTTTCCATGAGGTAATCCGTTATAGTTAGCTAGTTTTCCGAAATTATCACATAAAACGTGCTTTTTGCCACACCCAAAAATTGTGTTAAAATCGACGCGATTCCATTTACCACAGAGCTGTAACGGGCTGTTATGAGGTTAACATGGATAACTTATAATTAGGTACTTAAATTAACAGTTAAATAGTAGGTAAACAAAGTGCGCGTAACTTGCTAAAAAAAGTAAGATATTATGTTGTTATCCAAATTACAAATTGGTAATTCGAATGAGTGATTGTATGCAAATTTTAAAGTGTAAAAATGCATTTTCAAAAGTTACCTAAGTATTATTCACTTATGTAAATCTATCGACGACAGTAAAATTCTTAGCGCTAAGTTATAAAACATAGAATTTGGTAGTTTCCAAGTTCGAAAATATTATTTTGGCTTATTAATACAATGGATTGCTAAAACATAACCATACTGTCATTCATTGCTATTAGATTTATTTCTTGTTTACTTTTTAAAAGTAAGTATGCTGTTTGACGTGAAAACATTATGACGTTGTTGCGAATTAACATATGACGTCGCATGTTTTTAAATCTCATACACATCCTTAAGAAAGTATAGTTTAAGACATTTAAATAAATGTATCGAATTTAACTTTAAGTGTGGGAGAGCCATGCTTCGGTACGGAGTATCCCTAAATCTCTAAATCCATAATCCCCAATAGGTCGACAACGCACTCGTAACTCCTCTGTTGTTGCGGGTGTCCATGAGCGGCGCTGATAGCTTATCATCAGGTAATCCGTCTGCTTGTTTGCCAACCTATCAAATTATATTTAAAAAAAATCTAACTGGAAACTACCGAATAACTAATAAAAATAGTTGCCCCACACTAGGATTTTCTCCTGTGTCGTGGGTGCGTTTACAAACATACAATTTCACATACACATCACATCCAGACCCGGAACAATTATTTGTGGATCACACAAAGAGTTGTTCCGTGCGGGAATGGAACCCGCGACTCGTTGCGCGGTATCCAGTTGCCTAGCCACCACGCCAACCATACAGTCTTAACTTAATATGAACTTCTTAACTTCCAACTTAATTTCTATAAAACATTTTATTCGATTATTTTTTTATGTGCTTGTTATGAATTTACATATGTACTTAACGAAACGACCATGAAGATACTATAAATTTATTAGGTACTACGCATTTTCTAATAAAATTAATTCATCGAATGATGCTGACCATTTTTTTGCTAAAAATAGAAGCGTTTTATTAAAACTTTGCAACTTAAATTAGTTGGGTTTTTAATTTAATATTTATCTAGGTTAGAAGGACACTGGTATACAGGAAGTGATAATATAGACTGACCGAAGATTTGATAATATTATGACTTGCGTAACTCTTTTATCAAGAGTACTTATACAGACTTATACAGACACTTATATTGTATAGTAATATAAAAAGTCGCTTTCTCTGTTTCTATATTCTTGTGTATGAGCAAGGGAAAGGAGCAATTGGGACGCCGCGGCGCCGTCTCTTTCTTTCTTTTAAAAACGTTGCCCCACATTAGGATTTTCTCCTGTGTCGTGGGTGCGTTTACAAACATACAATTTCACATACACGTCACACCCAGACCCAACAATCTGTGGATCCCACAAAGAGTTGTTCCGTGCGGGAATCGAACCCGCGACACGTTGCGCGGCAGCCAGTTGCCCAGCCACCGCGCCAACCGTGCAGTCAAATCTCTCATCCCGTCTCATCTTTCTATTAAGAAGATATGATCGCAAAGTTGGAGGTGGATCGCGTGAGGTAGCATCGGTACATCTTTATATGACCACATAGTAAATTCAATGCATTCTCTGTATGCATGCTTCAATTTTAAAGGCTATGCAACGGATTTTGAAGCAGTTTTTTTACCTTTCAATCATAGCAATTCGAGACACAGTACTTAGAAGATCAATAGCCGGCGTTCTGTTACCGTTTAATTAATTAACAGATAAAGTGATTGAAGAGGAAGGTTTATTAGAATAATAACATCCATTATAGTGGAGAAATTTTGAATCAACATTGCACCCGTGCGTAGCTGAGGGGATCGCTAGTACACTATAGATAAATGTACCTATACACTTTGCAACTTGAAATGAGTTATGGCACGTAAACTTTAAGGCCTAATCTGAAGCCTAGATTTTGCTAATCACGTTAAACATTAATCTAAAAATAACTTGTTGATGACTAAAATATATGTACAATGAAAAAGTGAATTAAAGTTATGTAAGTATGCTATTTTGGAGTAATTTTCACCCCCAGATTATGGAGTATATTAAGACTTAAGAAAAAAAGTCACCAAACAGCCCTTTTTAAAATTTAAGTATTTAAAGTTTCAATAACTGATCATACACAATAATAACAGCTAACAAGTTACAAATGGTAAAATTATACGTGTGACAGTTAATTAGTAAACAATATAAATGTATATTATAAAATAAGTAAATTATGCATTAATTGTAAACACATTTCATACATCAACAAATTAGTTGTTTATAGAATTATTTGAATAATAAATCAATGCAACTTTTCGTTATAATGTGATAACTCAACAATGTTTTTACCGATTTGGCTAGTTTTGGTCTTGAATTATTCGTGAAAGTCCAGAAAAGGTTTGCACATAGAAAAATTCTTGAAAAAGCGTAAAATTGTCATCCACGCCGGCGGAGCCGCGGACGACTGCTAGTACAAAAATAAATAAATGAATTAACACCAAACAGGAAATCCTATTTTTATAATTTCTCTCTTTTTCAGTATCCGTCGTCGTGCCCGCGGTAATTGGTGGTACGGTCGTGGTGAGCCCACCTTAGCAGTGCAGCTGTACCGACGTGCGCTGGACGTGCTCGATGAAGCCGACGGTGGCATCACCACCCCCACAGCCAGCGGTGAAATGCCACCAACCTCTGATGAACTCCAAGCTCTTCTAGAAGAACGCCTTCGTGTGCATAATAATATGGCTGCCGCGCAATTGAAGGCTGGCGCTTATGAAGCGGCTTTGCAGGTTCGTTATTCAATAATGGATTGAGGATATTGTAGTTTGGAACTTTTATATTTTTCAATGGTTTGATAAAAGGTACCTGGGGAATAATTATGTTACTGTCGTGTCAGAATGTATAAGACAGTGACAGCAACAATTTTATTCCTCAGATAACATTTATCTGACTATTGAAAAATCAGCTCTAAATGTGGGAGAGCCATGCTTTTGTTTGGATACCATGGCCTGACAGAAAACCGGAATACTTCAGCGTTATGTTTTCCCGTGTGAGTCTGGTAACCCGAGGCCCAATTATCCATCCTCTTCCCAATCCCTAAATCTCCGAAACCTTAATCCCCTAAAAACCGGCAACGCACTTGTAACCCCAACATCTTGGTGTTGTTAGGTGTTCATGAGTAGCGTTGATTATTTACCACCAGACAAGCCTTCCTTTTACATAGAAAATATAGATTAGATGTCTATCTAACTGGAATTACAAGGAAAAAGTATCGAAATTATTTGACTGTCTCCTGTTATAATTAAATGTATCTACTACGATTTCGTTCTGTTCCTAAGAGGTTTCTTAAGTATCACACTACATAGAATAGCATTTACTTATAAACTACCACAAATGGAACCCAACAGGGCCGATGCCAGAGTTATGGGATCCGAAAAAGTCTTGTACTCCCTATTGACACACGACACTGGAGAAAATACTAGTGTGAGGCAACATTTAAAAAAAACTTATTTTTAATATTTTCAGGCAGTAACAAGAGTCCTTACCTGTCAACCGAAGAACGCCAAAGCATTATATCGCAAGTCACGCATTCTGTCCTCGATGGGCCGTAATTCCGAGGCTTTGGAAGCAGCGCGGGCCGCTGCAGCCGCCGCCCCCGAGGACCCGGGGGCTCGCAAGGAACTCCAGCGATGTGAACAAAGGGCCACACGAGAACGATCCGTGGAACGAAAGCTGGCTAAACGAATGCTTGGCACCAACCAACCTAAGGGCGCTACGCCTGATAAGAAACCTAGTAGAGCCAAGGTGAGTCCATTTTGAGGTATTAATTTATGAAATAATGTTAGTGTTTTCAATTATACAGGATTTAAATAAAAATAGTAATGGCAAATGATTGAATATTTCTGGTAAATTTAAGTACCTACATATCCATCATAATTTATTGGAATTGTAAATTATTAGTCCACTGTTATAAATCAGGCGTGTGGGTGCGCGATGGTTTGTTACGTTTTATGCAGTAACTACTGAATCGATTCAAATAAGTTTTGTGATTGAGATAGAAACACAACGCTATGGTTGTTTCACGACGATTTTCTGTGAGGCCGTGGTATCACTCCGGTCGGGCCGACCCATTCGTGCCGAAGCTTGTCTCTACCACATAGTGTTGCGATAATACCGATAATATTTGTTTCGTATTCAGATGTTCGTGTGGGGTTCGATTCTGCTGAGCTTCCTGATGGGCGTGGCTAGCGTGCTCGTCTACCGGTACAAGATACAAGCGCATTGACGCTTCGAACGCAACCATAGACCACAAGTAAGTTATGTTGTTTCGTAAAATAGATTTTTATTTTCGCGCCATAATAGACATTTTGTACGACAATCTGGCAATAGCTATACATTAATATTATGTTGTGGGAAACAAGCGCCTAAGTTGGCTCAAGGGTAATGTGAACTGTAATATCTTCATATAGTCAAAATTATTTTTTTTTTACTATATTTATTAATTGACTTTGAGTTTGAAACGTCAAAATAGAAGTCTGTCAAGATTGTTCGTCAGTGAAGCAAGCTTTGTGCTATATTATATGTAGTTAGTAAAAATACTGGGTTATACTTCTATTGTAAAAATTGAACACCTACCTGTACTACGCACTTCGCGCTTGCATATGTTCTGGGGTTGTGTCTCTATATCTGTAGAACCCGAACAGTGGGTGTAACCACGCCAGAATAGCTAGTTTTGTATAATCACCTCACAGCACCCGCCTATAAGTGCCCACCGCTGAGCATAGGCCTCTTCTCACACAAAAAAAGGTTTGAGCATAATCATCACGCTTGCTCAGAGCGGATTAGCAATTTCAAACTTCAATACTTTTATCCAAATGTCAAAAACGATACTTTTCTATGAAAATTGTATGAAACATTGAATTATGACGTCACAGCATTATTGCGTCAAATAGATTACTTATTTTTTAAAAATTAGCTAATAAATATCTAAAACTCAGTGTATCGATCGATCGATGAATAAAAGTATAGTTATTTTTCAATATTGTATCGTATTAAAACGTCGAATTAATTTATTTTTGACTTAGGAAACTACCCAATTATAAGTCCAGTTTTCCTCACGATGTATTCCCGCACCGTATGTTAGTGGTATCTAAATAATCATAGAAAGTACACATTACTCGGAAAAAGTCACATTGGTAGCTGCTTGCCAGGTTTCGGTTTAACTTCTGGGCCACCACGACCGGACAGACCGGCAATTCTGCCGGTTCTGTATAATACCTACCTTATTTTAACATGTTCATTTAATTCCAGGTAATGGAGAATCCAATGGTGTGATTGGAGAGGGGGGGTTGGTGCACATATACTTAAGGCCACGTCATATCTTCGCTGAAAAAGCAAATCATAAAGCCTTCAAGCAATCGGTCTCTACTCTACGTACTGATACTGAGAGAACATGTATAGTTATTTTTACATACTCCTGTAAATATATACTTTAACCAGTCTAGAGTTGGCCGCGTTCACAAATGTAATCACATTATTTTTTTATATTTATACAAAGCTACGAATCGTTTTCGTTATCGTCTACAGCAAGTTCCAATCGTGTGGTCGTCTTCTGACAGTATTTAGTAGAACAAATTCAAAGTAACGCTATACGGTAATAGTTGATTTTGTTGATTTTTTTTTCGTATAAGATATGTAGTGTATGTCTATACAATACATAGGCAATATCTTCGTGTTTTTATTTCATTATAAATTACTTGATGATATGGGTTTCCAATTATTTGTAATAGACAATACTAAATGTACCTACTTGTAAAATAATAAATGGGGATAGGTGTAGTTATTAGGTGATTGCAAACATATTAATCATTGCCTGTCTACAGTTCGCCACTATGTGCATTTACGTCAAAATTTCTATGTATATATCATATCTACATATATGTGTGTGTAAATTCTGTGTTTATAGTTAGTGCCAAAATGTATAATATGTAGTTATTATATCAGTGTTCCAAGTCACATTCAGCAAGAGATATTTATAAAATAATAATAAAAGTATAACTTATTACATATTTTTCGAGTCTAAATATATTTTGAAGTGGAGATTGGAGTATTTGGGTAAATATTCGAAGCATTCCAGCTTGTTTATTTAACGGAATATATTTTTTATGGAGACATTTGGGAGGTGAGGTCCTTCCGTTGTAAGGGTGCTTTTTACTCGCATTTATCCAGTGCTGTTTCACTACCACGTCAGCCCCGGTAGCTATTCATTAGATAAATTATAGTTTCAACGTTTATCTCATAGATATTGCTTAAATTAGATGGTGAAACATTCAGATCCGTATCTATTTTCGTAAATTCCAAACACATACTTCGAAGTATTTAGTTATTTCCATCGTCTGAATGAAAATGCACACAAATTAATGTAAAATTAGATTTATTTAGGACATCGGTTTGGTGAGGGGTCGCTGTGACGCCTATAGAATATTGTCAGTAAGAAAAATCTAAAAAAATGTGTTTCCAATATACACTTACACTAATAAAAATTGTTAAGATGTAATAATTTTGTTTTATTATTCGCTCTTTTTTTATTAAAAAATATATTAAACAACAATAAAAATCTATTGGGTCTTTATTTATTTAGACATTGCTTCACACTAGGAATTTCTCCTGTGTCATGGGCGCCTCTACAAAGAAACAATATCACATTCACATGACACCTAGACCTAGAACAACAATTATTAATAGGGATAAAAAAATGAGTTGTTCCTTGCGGGAATCGAAACCGCGATGTCGTTAAAATAAGTCGTTACATTTTAACTGATTAAAGTACAATAAAATTATAATACTATCCACGTGTGATACAGTCAGTAGGTTTTATTGCTAATTTAGAATATCTACAATTAACTTATACAATATAAGTACACAATGATCTGCCTTCCGTCTGTACAGTACGGCCGACGTATCGTGGCGAGTCTGAAGTTAGCCGTTAGTCTGCGCAATGGATCTTTTAGGAACAAAATTGTGTACTGCGCAGCTAATCGGCTATATTCAGATTTGCCAAGATACGTTGACGGTGTTGTACATTACATAAAAACTGACTCGCTGTCAAATACTCATACAAGGTGTAATCGAATTTTGGGAGTCATTATCACGTATCACAAGGCTTCACAGAGTTCTTAACAACGGCATATTGTCATTCAAACTGGCTGTTGAACTGGGTGAAAGGATGTCATGAAAACCTAGCGGCTCTCAAAATTATCGTTTAGGTTACGTTAGCGCTGCGCAGATATCGGATCGCCATGCGATATCATTTATTAAATAGGCTATCTAGGCTAGATATGAGCGCCGCGCCGGCGCGCCGCCGTCGCCGTGTCTTAGCGTCAGCGCGCCGCCGTCGAACGAAACGCGCGGCGCGCCGTCGCGACATGTACAAACCAGTCTACCGCCACTCGACCGACCGAACCGCGTCTGAGCTGCGCTCGCTCAGTCGAGTTTGTCACCGTGGCGAGCGAACGTGTGTTATAGTTAAGTGACGTAAACAATGGCGGCAGTGTCTTCGACTAGTATTGATGTTTATAAAACGAAAATAAAAGACATTTTTATAACACCACTGAAAAATCTTTCTACAAAACATACACATAGTTTTTGCTGGACAGAATTCGGACAATTAGCAGTAGAATTTAATGGAAAACGGAGAGCTGTTTTAAGTGAACAAGTATTTTGTGGAGTTTGCCTACGAAATGCAAAAAATGAAGACGAGAATTGTTTGTTTTCAAAGTAAGTTAGTTTTACTTTTCCTAGATTGAATTTAGTATTCGAAAAACAAGATTAGTAATCCGAAATTCCAGACTTTCAAGCTAACTATTTATTTTATTTACGTATTATCTTTTAAACTAGTGTCAATATAACTAAATTAGTAGTAAATAAAACATTTATGTACTTACAAATGTTAGGAATTGTTAGATGTTTTTACAGATATTGTTTAGAAATGTCAAACCATCACATTAAGCCTTTTCATTTTCTTTAACATTTTATCACATGGTATAGTTCACATTTATTACTTTTCAGGGCCCAAGTGAAAGCTTACTCTAAAGGAATAGCCACAAGTAATCTTCTCAGACATTTGAAAGATGCACATGGTGTAGAAGATACACAAAGGTCGCAGCCTTCGAGCATAACACAGTTTTTTTCTCCGAGGACTCCGACAACCAGTAGCAGTAGTAAGAGGAGCAGCAATAAGTGGTCTTTGTCTCGAGATTTAGCTCTTTGGTTTGCTAGATCTTTGATTCCATTTGACAGTGTGGAAAATGATGCAATGATTGACTTTTTGAAAAAGTACAACATTATTGTTTCCGCCGACGATTTGCCCTCGAGGCACAACATAGCACGAGAAGGACTGGAAGATGTGTATAACAGTATGCTAGCGTATGTAAATAATTTTATTTCGAATCAAAGTCCTCGTTTTGGTGCATTAACCGCTGATATGTGGACCGACCAATATAGGCGGCGTAATTATATCACTTGTACGTTTCATTTTAATTCTGAAGACATGACTCTCATCAAATTTACTCTGGCTACAATAGAAATTACCAAGAAACACACCGGCGAAACAATCCGTGACACAATTTTGGAAGTATTGCGTTCTTTTAAAATAGACCAAAAAAATATTTATTTGGTCACAGATGCAGGTGGCAATATGAAGAGAGCTGCGAATTTATTAGGCTTTGATAACCATCTTTGCCTTGGTCATGCTCTCCATAATCTAGTCAATGTAGATGGTATCGCAAACACAAGGGAAATATCCAAGTTATTAAAAAAATGCAAGAAGATTGTTAAGCATGTCCGTTACAGGGCACCACGTGTTGAAGCCGCTGCATCTGCAGCACAAAATGATCTGCTTTCTTTTATTGAAGAATTCGCGGAACATGTAGAGGATGAAGATAGCGACTCAACCGATTCTGAATCGGAATCAACTGAGATACCTGAAAGAGCTTTAAGTTCCAGAAAACATTTGCAGCCCCCTCCTACTATTAAAACGAGCACAAGCACAAGATGGCACAGCGTCTTGATGATGCTGAAAAGCATTTCTAACAGTGCAAATCGTCAGCCTATAAATACAGTTCTGAATGAAATAGGTCGAGGTAGTCTCGTAATACAAGATATAGACTATGAAAATATTGAGGCCTTAATAAAATTCTTAGAAAATTTTAAAAAAATTGTAGAAATTCTAAGTTCAGAAACTCAGCCAACTATAAATTTGGCTCTGGTATTTCGCTCGGAAATAAAAAGATTGCTGGAAGAAATGGGTGATGATGAGCCTCTTGTAATAAGAAGGCTAAAAAATAATATGTTAGCGGGTTTAGAATCTCGATTTCCTTTGACTGATGTGGTTGTTGCGGCAACCTTACTCGACTGTCGATTCCATGGAATTAATGAGATAGAGGAATTTATGAAAACAAAAGGAACCACTAAAGTTTCATTTCTGGCATCAATGGTCAGAAGTCGATTGATGACAGAAGACATTCCTCAAAATAAAATTACTGATTCTGCCGGGGAAGTCGGGACGAGTTCTTCCGTTAACGCTGCAAACTTTTTACTGGATTTGGCCCGAAAGCACAGCGCTACTCAACAAGATGCCGAAAGTGCTGTTGAAAACGAATGTTGGACTTATTTCGCGACAGCAAGTCCTGAACATTTACAGCCTTACGGTGGAGATGTTCTGCAATACTGGAGGGACAAAAAAACTTGTATGCCATCATTATATGCTCTCGCACGATCAATCTTAAATATACCTGCTACAAGCACACCGAGCGAGAGAGTCTTCTCCACAGCTGGACTAGTAATAACTGCGAAACGTTCTCGACTAAATCCTATCAGAGTGAATAGGATAGTATTCATCCATGATAATTATGTATTTTGCAAAGAGTCTTTAAATAAGTAGTTTTGGTCAGTAAATTATTTTTTTATTTATAATACTGAAACATTTTTGCTATTCATCAAACGTGATCTTTTATTTTTTTAAATAATTATTGGACTTTGATTTTTTTTTCGGCGTATTTACCTAGTTTTTATGTAAAAATGTGATCTATTTTATTTCTGTAAAAATTATTAAATTAAGAACAAGCAATTTTGATTTGTTAATATCGATCTCATTAAAATTATTGATGCTAGTTTTAATCTTTAAAAATGTGACTTATTTTATTTCTGTGCAAAATGATTAAAATTAAAGGACAAGCAATGTCGTTGAGTTAATGTTGATTGATCTCATTAAAATGACTGATGCAAGTTATTTTTTATCATTAAAAAGGTGATTTATGTGATGTAAATAAGCAATGTTATACGAATTATGTCTTCTGTTTCTTTATTAAAGTATAATATAGTTTTCTTTAGTATCAACAATATGGTTTTCTTTTCTTTATTCTTAATACACCCCCCCCCACACCACCCACCATAAAAATGTACACCACGCCGGCGCGCCGCCGCCGCCGTGTAAATTTTTAGACCGCGCCGCCGCCGTGGAATTGGCCATCGGCGCTCATATCTAATCTAGGCTATACATTGTCTCCCATCAGGATAGGCAAGGGCAAATCCTACTAATATTATAAATGTGTAAGTTTGTGAGAATGTAACTAGATATGATTGATATTCTTTCACGAAAAACGGCTGGACCGAATCGGTTTAAGTTTGGTACCTACATATGTAGTTAGGTACACTACTTTAATACATAAAACTACTTTTTATCAACATACCACGCGGGCGGAAGATAGTATAACATATTTCCTGTCCTTTGGGATAGTCACACAATTTAAAATGATAAGACTCCTCTTCAGCGGCTAGCATTCGTGATAATACCTCCAAATTCAATAGCACCCAGTTTATAATATATTTTGTTCATTAATTGGACGTCAACTAACTAGCTACACTTGGTAATCACAACACTATAATAACAATAATAATGGCAATAGTCATCAAAATTCTCACAATTCATTTTATACTCAATTTACATCGCGAAAAAAATATTAAAGTCACATTTTGCAACAAAATTGTACACGGTGAAATGAACTCTATGTCGATCATATAACGTATAAATTAAAATACGATTTAATTTAACAATTTCTGTAACTACTGGCTTTTTTATTTTGTATGTTATACCATTGACATAAGGTTAATTATGCCGTGTGCAGATACTATTTTAATCCGATCTATAGAACTGCAATAGATTTTCGAATTTATATACAAAACACTTTTAAATCTTGCACAGGAATTCTTCAATTCATAGACCACAGGGTAAAATGAGGTCAAATGTTGACTGTATCAATCGAGTTTCGACCTAACTACACATGCATAAAGTTGAAAACCTCCAAAACTGATTACTTTAATACAATTTTATTGCAAACGCCTTAATATTATGTAACAGCATTGTAAATTGAGCTTTAAATCCACAACATAGAGTACCTTTGGTAAGCACTAGATAGTTATATCACAGTCTTGATTTGTACGTGAAGATTCTAGCTAGGTAATTGGTGGTATGTGCCAGGAATTGTAATTGTGCTATAGTACCGAGGGCTTGGAGGGAGAATATTGTGGCTACGAAGTCATACAACAGTTTGGGAGAGAACACGCTCCATACAAAGAGATGGTCTCTGAAGATTGTCGCTATAACACAGTACACAACTACACAGTAAACTCGATGAGCTGCTAAAATGTTCGTTGAACGCCATATTGTTTGCAAGTACCTGGGGAGTAAGGAGAAATCTATATGATTATATAAATAAAAATGAATCGCAAAATGTTTTGGTAAACGCATAATTGATCAAGGTTTGGACCAATTTGGCAAAATGTTTTTTTGTTGTGTTTGTTACCATCAGGAGAAGGTCCTTAAAAAAATTGAGAAAGTAGAAGGGGTACGTCGAGAAATATTAACCGGTAAAATACTTGTATACCTGTTCGAAGCGGGGACGGGTCATTAGTTAGTCAATAAAAATAATTTCGCGTGAATAGATAGCCCATCAAACACATTCTGTAAAAAACTAGCTAAGTGTCTATGGAGCTGCTGGTTCATCCCTTAAAAGTAATGAAATATTACAAAGTCGTGCCAAGTCTATGGTTCCTTATTGGGATTTCGTATAAATGTTGTGTGACTTGGCCATTGACGTTGTGCACCCTACACAAGGGTACACAACCTGGTGCTCCATGACACCAATCTGTCGCCAGAACCGCTACCCACTGACGTTGGAAAATTGCCACCTGAACGTGTTGAAAGTTGTTGTTGTTGTTTCCAAGTTGAAAACGTGGTGGATAAGATACATAGGTCGACAAGCGAACAGACTTGATGGTATTGGTAGGCAATTGGCATTCCCTCTCGCCAAATTCGGGCAGAAGCCAGTTGATAATATTTCTTCCTCAAGAGAAGGGTACAACTCACGTGTCCCAAGTATTAGCGTGGCGAGCGATGGTCGCGAACAGCGCGGCGCCTGCGATGGCGGGCCCGGCGTACGCATGCAGCCCCATGCGGAGCGCCACCCGCACGGGGCAGTACTGCCGCAGCCCCACGTACCCTGAACCGAGGTCTACTGACGACAGGCTGTTTGAGTTACCCTGAAATAATAATAACACCCAAAACAACTCCATCAATCAATAAAGACACTAGACCTACCTTCCTATACTTATCACAATCTCCAAAAAGCAGCTATCTTAAACACCTGCCGTATAGTCCGAAAATTCTTAAACGAAACAGATACAATGTCGTACACCAACAACCAAAATCGACACATCGACGTGGGCTAGCACTTGGCTTCGGCCCGTACTAGTTCTCAAATTCGGCTACGTAGCCGAGCCAAGAAAAAGAAACAAGAGAATAATAATGTTAAACTGTAGGTATATAATAGTTGGTAAAATATGCCAATATAAGTGTGGGAGTTATGTTTCGGCTCGAATGGGTCGGCTGGATCAGAGTGATACTTTTTTATTGTCAGGGGAAAATCATCTAACGACTTCTTCCGCCCAGGGTAAGCCGAAAGAGAATGTCATACTCTTACTGACTAAAAACCACACCGTTTCTTCTCCTGCTCTGGGCCAAGGATATGGTGCCTCATTGCGCTTAACCCGCAACCCCGGCTAAACATCAGCCCTAAAGGGCCCCGTCTGTGGTGATCTATTGACTCTTACGAACTCACAGATCACCGACATGAAACAAAAATCTTTTGTTTCAATATCTCCTAAATTTCCGAAATCTTAATCCCCAAAAGGCCGGCAACCCACTCCAAACTCCTCTGGTATTGCAGTTATCCATGGGCAGCGCTGATTGCTTACCATCACGTAATTAGCTAGCTCTATTCACGTTCTAACCTTTAAAAAAACAAAATAAACAACTCACCTGATAAAAGAAGAACAGGATACCAATCCACATATGAACAAGGGTCCTGCTAAGTATATCAGCGACTTCGGTCTTCTTCCCAGACTTTGAGTCCAACAGTTTGTGGTCCATGCACTCAGACGTCAACACACACGTCACAAATATACTTGGAACCATGACCACGTTATGAGGACGCATTAATAAACACACTATTAACATTAAATCATTTAACATTAGATGAGAAAGAGACCTAACCAAGTTCAGCTTAACTTCTTCAACATTCCAAGGCTCCTCCATTAGATTGTCGTAGAAATAGTCTTCAGATTTCGCTTTAGGCTTATTATATTCGAATTTGTTAGCATTCGAACTGTTCTTTACAGGTTGAAGGCCACAGGACTTGAGGATTCCTATATAAGAGACTATTTCTAGAAGGAACTGTGCTATGAGGATGGCCCAGAAGACGTCTACGATTTTGACTGGGTCCCAAGTTTTTATGTCGTCGATTGGTGTCTCTAAGGCGCTGGAGGCGATTCGGTAGCAGAATATGCAGATTACTGCTGCGATTGTGAGCATAGATTGGAAATGCTTCACGTTGTTCAGGTAACGAAGGTTCCATAGACATATTACTAGTGTGCCAATTGTACCTGGAAAGAGGAAAAATGAAATAAGTAATATTGTAAAAGAAACATGACTATCTCCCGTAGCGTGCAAACCATAATATAGGCAGTTGTTTTCTTTTTGACTGTGTTGTGTTGACCTTTTAGGGATTTGGAGATTTGGGGATTGAGGAGGCATTGGGGGAGGGGAAGGATTGGGCCTCCAATAACCTAACTCACACGGCGAAACACAACGCTGTGGTTGTTTCACGCCGGTTTTCTGTGAAGCCGTGATATCACCCCGTTCGAGCCGAAGCATGGCTCTCCCACACTTAGATTTAAACTAATTGTATGAGGATAATATAATTGAAATAAATAAATAGATATTTTATTATTTATATATTGAGTAACCTACTCACCTATAACAAGATGAGCTTGAAGGTAGAACACGTTTTCTGGTGCGTTCAACCAGTCTGCCGTGTCTGGGAGGAACAACCATCTGTCCCCAGTCTGGTTCATTGTTCTTAGGTATCTGGAAATTTTATACATTAGTGTAATAGTACAGTATTTATTATATGTTAGCTACTCTCGAGCGATTTCACCCTCTGCCCAGCTCTTTTTGATCGTAGCGTGATGTTTTATAACCTATAGCACTCAGGAGCATTGCATAGCTATCTATTAGCGGTTCCAAAGATTACCTCCTACATACAAACTGACAAATTTTACCGCTTCAAATATATGTATTAGATGAACTAGATACATATTCTCGCGAGGTTTGCGTTTCCGCTTCTCGGCTTCTACAGATCGTAGCGTGAAGTTTTATAGCCTATGGTCTTCCTAGATAAATGGACTAACAAGTGAAAAAATAATCGTTCAATTTTAACCAGTATTTGCGGAGATAAGCGCGTTCAAACAAACAAATTAACTTCAGCTTTATAATATTAGTATAGATAAATGGTCTCTATTTTACTAACTACTCGTCAGTGTTTCACGAAATACAGTGAATAACATTGTTAAAAGGCTCACCTATGTAACGCAATCAGAAGCACCCACTTAGGCAGTATCCCAACACCGACAGCGCTCATCCGTTGCTCCAACTCCGGTTTCTCTTGCACTTCAGTCGCTCCAGTCAACTTCTTACTCAAATACATGAGCAGAATAACAACAGTTCGAACCAAAACAAAGAACATCAAAGTGTTCCAAAAGAAATACCAAGTCATATGTTCTTCTTCAATAAAACTTGTACCAAAGAAAGACCAACAGTGGAATAACGTGGCTCCAATTAGAAGCAGATCTATAGCATTCAATTCGTTCAGTAAAGAAAGATCTTTTATCCTTTCTATACCAGTCTTTATGAGGAAATAAGTGACTGTGAACATACAGGATGTTGCCAAAAGTCCAAGTATCCAAAAAGACTCGAAATTGCATAATTGGCTTTTGGTTTCGGTAATGAAACATGAAGTGATAAGGATGGCACTGCATATGGAGAAGATTATGAGGAATGCTATCATGGAACCGATGCTGGAGCGCTGGTGGGAGCGGCTTGTTATGCTCGTTTTGCGTCTGTTGTCTGGTTGGATAGAGTACAGGGTGACTAGTAGTAGTGATATTGCAATCTGAAAGAATAACATGACACGTTATTTTTTTCATACACTGTTTTTTTTTAATGGAAAGGTCAGTTTTATTGTCTAATTCAATACCTACACAATAAGTTCACGGTAAACAAATGAATCTTCAGAAATTTTATTGAATTTGAATATTTATAAAACTACCCTATTTGTAAGAACTTTGCGACAGAAACGTCTGCAGGGAACTTATGTACAAGTGTGGATTTTTCAATAGTCAGATAAATATCTGAAGAATAAAATTGTTGCTGTCACTGTCTTATACAAACATTCTGACGCATCATATAATTATTCTCCAGGTAACTTTTATCTAACCATTGAAAAATCAGCCTTAAAGGTAATTAAATAAATCCAATCCACGTCAAGCCTTCCAAGGTGTTAAAATAATTACTTTTCGCATTAACACTCGCGCATTTATAAGTTGTAAATCCAATCTAACTCACCGCATACAATAAAACAATAGCAACTCCAATAGCGAACAAATCGAATTCAGTTTTAGTTTGAGTGAGGTATTCGGACATCTTTGCAAGTGATTCTTCGTAGAATTCTTTGGCTATCTTGGCGGCACTCTGTTGCCCGGTGGCGAGGTAATGGGCAAATTGCTGTTCAGCCCGTTGGTACTGCTTGTAGAACTCTGGGGATTAAGCCGAGACTGTCAGTTTTAGAGATTACTGATGTGAGTTTAGGTAACGTTTGATTGTTTAAAATACTGTTAAAAATAATAATATTTTTGGAGATTGAATTGAGTGCACGAAATTTGATTTGTGAATAAAATGTTACTGGTAATAATTAATTTTTATTTTTTTGGTATGTAACGGCGGCATACAAGCAGACGGATTTGATGATGGTAAGAAATTGGCGTCGCCTATGGACACCCATATATGGCAACGTCAAAGGAGCTGCAAATGCTTTGCCAGATCCTGATAGGGGGTTTTAGGGCAATCCCTAACCGGCCTAACCCTTCCCTCCTCAATAGGAGGGAAGGGTTAGGCCGCCTCCTCATTGGATTGTAAAAGGGGTTTAAAGTAGTATAACTTGTGTCACATGGATTAGGAGCTTGGTTTCGTTTCCAAACAATTTTTGCGATTGTGATTTAACAAATGGGACTTTAAACTACACTAGCGCCATCTACAGATTGCAAATATGTTTTTACCTCAACGAAGTATTGTTAAACATACCAGTGTCAGTAGGTATATCCTGTTTCACAGCATGACTGCTGAGCACGTGCAGTAAGTACAGATGCTGGCGCGGGTCTTGCGGGAGTAGAGCGGGGAGGAGGCGTCCGCCACTATCCCCGGGGGGCGGAGCGCCCAGTAACCAGGCTACTGAGGGCGCTACGTCTACTTGAGCTACTGTCGGACCTGGACCTAGCCTGTAGGGATTAGTGATACTTGAAGGTATAGTTAAAACAGGTCAAGGGTTGTTATGAATGGACGTGATGTTGTTTTAGTATTGGCTATGTGCAAAGCGAGTAGTGGCGGACAGGATAACGACCGCAGCGCACAACACGGCAGAAATCCGAAACAAATGCGGACGACCAGCTATCGTTTTTTATTATTATATTGATTTTACAGTAAAACTATTGAATAAATTGCACTTAAATAATGTCAACAATAATATATTTATCTTTGGTTTTATTTATATTTGCAAAAAAAATGATAATGTTTACATTGTTATTATTTGACAGCTTCCGGAAATGTTGTAAACGCTACGCGTCGCCACTGTCGCGCACATAGCCAATAGGCGATTTGCTACAATGTACGACGAGCTTACAGCGCCACTGAACCACAGCGTATGTGCAAACGAGGGCTAAATCTCATATTTAGGGTTTTATGTGAAAATAATAGTAACACAATACATACGGATGCGGGCATTCGAAGTCGGAGCTCATGGCCAACACAAGAGGTACGAGGACTTCGCTAGGCGTGGCGCCACCGTGTCCGCCCGCGTCTCGCATGCCGTGGTCACCGCATACTATCAGTACGCCTTTACGATCCTACGAACATACATAATACATTATAATTATGTGTGGGCTTTGCTCAAAGTAAAAGCCAAGCAAACTGAAGAAAATGTTTTATTAAAAAAAACTCTGCCGACCAATCTCTGTCATATCGCTACGCTCGCCATCTTTACTGTCTGCTATTTCAGTATTTTCCGTCGTCCGTCCGTTCCGTTTCCCACATATATTATTATTTAAAAAAACATTGCCCCACTCTAGATTTTTCTCCTGCGTCTTTGCGTGGTGCGTTTACAAACTTACTATTTCACATACACATCACAACCAATCCCGGAACAACAATTTGTAGATCGCACATAGTTGATCCGTGCGGGAATCCAACCCGCGACACGTTGCACGGCAGTTAGATGCCAAGCAACCACGCCAACCGTGCAGTCTATCCATTTTATACTGTGTCATAGATACTATATATCTGATAGAATATGTGGTTTCATTATACATTGTACAAAACGACGTCGCTTCTCGATCAGACCCAATGTATGCTTAGATCTTTAAAAAAATGTCTCTCACCACTTTCCTCTAAAAATCAAGGGATTAAACATTAAAATCGCATGACACGAGCACTTACCCACGTTTTCATAGCGGTAAATATCTTCTTTACAACTTCATCCATTTCTTGGAGTTTCGGTTTGATCTTAGGGCTTCTAGCGCCTTCTAAATGACCTATATGATCAAGGCCCAAGTAATGAAGGACTAGGAAGTCGAATGTAGGTTTCTTATTCTCATCTGGTGTTAGCACTTTGTCCAGATGTCTTGTGACATTATTGTCCACCTGAAAAAATATTGAACTGCGTTCTGTATTATGTTCAAAAAAGCTTTTAATCATAATAGTAGCCTTACAGATCAGAAAAGTTTTTATATTTTATACAAAAGTATAGTCAAAGTCAAAATCATTTATTCCAACTAAACCATTTGAAACGTGAAACTATAATATTATAGTCTAGCTGCCAGTCAGTTCGTTAGTGAAGTTAGGTGCTCGTTCCAAAGTGTAAATTCGAATGGAGAAGAACAAACAAGAAACTCCATCGTTACTCTTTAATAGTAAGTAGGTTCCTTTCATTTAATACATTCTGCCATGTTTCACGCGGAGACAATACGAGATTTACTAGGAACCTTATACCTGAAATTTGCTACTGTCAAGCACGAAAGTTCCACCTTTACACTGCTTAAACATCATCATTATCACCAGCCTATAAATGTCCACCGCTGAGCAAAGATCTCTTCCCTTCTCTTTACAAGTCCAGGTTTTCGATATTTACCTTCACCATATAACAGTAGTGTCTAAAGTAGCTTGGAAAGTACACATAACTCGGAAAGAATCACACGTTGGTAATTACCAGGTTTCGGACACACGTCCTGCATGGTGGCCTGAAGCTTCGAGCCACCATGACATTTAGTTTGGATAAACATGAGTTTATAAGTAAATAACACATTTTCGCTTTTTCCTTTTTTTGATTATTATATACTAACTAACCTCTGTATAATCTGTGACGTAGAAAGAAGTGGTTCCATCGTACTGTGACCACAGTCCAGGGAACAGTCTCAACCAGGTGTCATCTCCGTACATCACAGTGCGGCGCCCTCTAGCGTTGGCGACGCGCAACACACTGTCGCCACGAACAGCTGGGGCGCCAAAGTTTAGGGCCACATCCGCAAATGTAGAGACACTGCCCGTCATCATGGCCTGAAGATAGAATATAAAAAAAATCAATTTTAATAAAAATTATAATTATTGTTATTATACTCTGCCCAAGAGCGATGTGAAATGTTTTTATAAAATCATAAGATTAGGAGATTCGAGATACGTCCTGTTAATTCAACTGTACGCAATCGCGCCCTCGTATTTGAAGATCATCATCATCAGTCTTTAAGTGCCCATTGCTGAGCAAATGCCTCTTCTCACACGGAGACGGTTTTTGAAGATATTTACAGATAGTTTTGCTTTTTAGTAAAATAAGAGTATTGACAGAATCACAGTTTAATTTTTATGGTTTGTTGAGTTACTACTCTAGAGTTTACCGGCTAAACAATTATAAAAGATTTCACATCGATCTTGATCTTAGTATAGATATTATTATTGACGTAATGAGGATGGATTTTTTTTACGAAGTAGGTAAGCTTAAGAGCGGTGTAAAGTTAAAAGCATGTACTACAATGAGAGGTTAGCTACGAATGGATTTCACAACCTAATTACCCATTAAATATTGCATACCTATAAGTAATATTATATCTATATAATTTATTTATTTATTTATATATGTCACCGGAAAATAACAAGATCCGTAAGTTTATCATTTTACTAGGAAAATTATAAACTTTCGTAAGATTCTAAACGGGAGATAAATTGTAATATTTTACGTCCACATTTTCGTAAATTTATCAATTTCCGACGTCATACGGTAAATTTATAAACTATCGAATATCTATTCGTCAGATTTTATATGGTTCGACCAATCACAGAAACTCTTTTAAATATACGATCTTTGAAATACGTAAAATAACACACTGCTCTCTGATTGGTCAATGTTCATAGTGGCAATGCTTGTGTCCATAGACTTTGGAATAATCAGACTTGACAAACTATAAATTGGAAGCAACAATGCCTGGTTCCTCTCTGGCACGGATGTAGTGAGTTGAGTTTTCTATTATCAGTTTTAATAGCAAACCGGTTTGTTTATGTTCCGTGGCCAGCAATGGCGGCCGCGAGGAAGGAGAAGTGACACGTGACAGCCAACCAATCAGATCGCTCGTAGCGTTTGCTTACTGCTTTCTTATTATTTTACGAGTGAATTCAGTAAGTTTATCAATTTACGAAAATGTGGACGTAAAATATTACAATTTATCTCCCGTTTAGAATTGTACGAAAGTTTATAAACTTCCTAGTAAAATGATAAACTTACGGATCTTGTTATTTTCCGGTGACATATATACCTTTTTGCACACATACACCAAGTAGCAATACATTGGATACTATGACCGAATGTTGTGATTACAATGGGCGGTCTTATCACACAAGGTGATTTCTTCCAGACAACCTTATTATAATATTATTAAGCTGTAGAGTTTGTTTGTTTAAACGCGCTAATCTCCGGAACTACTGGTCGGAATTAAACAATTATTTTTGTGTTAGTTAGTCAATTTATCGAGGAAAGTTATACATCATCACGCAACGATCTGTAGGAGCCGAGCAGCGTGTGAAACGGCGCGAGACTAGCTAATTTTATTTATACATATATCAGATTTACATGTTACTGATAGTTAGTTGAAGTAAAAGTAATTGTTCTAGACTTTTTTTTAAAAGAAACGAGGTGGGTACCGTTGTCCACCACCAACCACCATGAACCATCAGGAATCTTCAATTGATAACAAAATAAATGTTCAAATTCGAAAAATCATGAGTTCATTGACCCTGAACCATAACCTCACCTTTCTACAATAAACCGGACATACGAAGCAAGAAACCATTATAGCAATTACAAAAAAAAAACAATAGCTACCAACCATTAATACTAGTACTAGGTACAGCATATCTAAGGCGGAAATGCATAGCATGACGTGCAAGACACAAGAGTACTATTCACGAATAAAGTTTCTTGTTCACAAAGAGTGGTGGTATCAAATACAAATTTCATTTAGGAGAGAAGAGAAAAAAGGTCTTGCTTATATTTTGGATTGCATAACTGTGCAAACTCTGTGACCAAATAATAATTATATAAACTCAAAGAATATATAAAGAACTGTGCTGGTAGTGGTTGGATAAGAAGGGCTGAAAGTGGAGTATAGTGACGTGCTATTGGGAAGGCCCATGTCCTGCATGGTTGGTGCGGTGGCTGGGCAGCTGGCTGCCGTGCAACGTGTCGCGGGTTCCATTCCCGCACGGAACAACTGTTTGTGTGATCCACAAATTGTTGTTCCGGGTCTGGGAGTCATGTGTATGTGAAATTGTATGTTTGAAACCGCACCCACGACACAGGATAAAATTCGGGTGTGGGGCAACTTTTTATTAAATTAAATAAAAAAAAATTAGAAACGCAATGGTTGAATTGTGCGAGCTGCAATGGGGCTCATGACTTTATTGGTGAAAAGGGCGTGTTATTTATTTATTGAGTTGCATCTCTACCTTCTCGTTATTATGTTTAATGGCACCTGAATAAGGAAGGGAAAGTGCGACAGATATCAAATTAATGCAAACTCTTCCTAAAGGTGATGTGCATGACTGACCAGTACCTACTTACAACATGCAATGACTCGAAACCACAGGAACTGAACCGACGTAATAATGGTAACTTGTAATTAATTGGGCAATAACGACAAATTACGTAGGTCAATTAAAAGAGGCGGGTTAAGCGCTGGACTTTTTTGTATGGGAGAAAGTCATGAAATGGCTTCTTTCGCTCTGTTTGGGACGGGAGTGAGTGTCAGACTCTTACTGATTACAAAACGCCTCGTGCGTTCTCTTGTGCTGGAGGCCTGGAGCTCCGGTACATTATTGACACACATCCAAGGTATACTAAATTGGCAATGATGTACCTATCTACTGAATTTGGGATTATGAATGTTAAGTACCCGTGTCAGTACCTATTTTATTTACAAATACTTATCCAATAGCTGCTAGCGACAACTATAACTGTATGTGTGCAGCTAACTAGTGGTATGCCCCTACTTTGCATGAATGACCAACTATCTCAATGCCAGTCATTACTTTTAAAAGTAAAACCTGATTTTTGTTAATGAAAAATATTTAGTTTGCTAAAAAAACCTGCACCAGACTATAACCAACACAATAAAAAAATATTTGGGGGTGAATGGCTGTTGACACCCAAGTACAGCCTCAAGAAGTTTAGTATGTCCAATATCATCTTACCCTGTAAGATAATGTCAAATATATCATTTAAAGTCAAACTTTCTAACAATTTGATCTATAAAATTATTATTATTTATAAATTACTTAATCTATAAAATACAGCTAAGCACATAATAATACTCTTTCCCAATAATAAAACTCTTTTACAAAGAAAGTTACAGTCTATTTTTCATTCACAAATGCTATTGTTATTATATACACTATTATTCTATTTTTTTAATATAGGTGTGCACTATTATCTACTATTAATTTCCTTATCTGATTATACACATTATTCAGATTATATCAAATGAATAAGTTGTTATAAATCTTGTAAGTTGCAATAACAATAAAGTATAGTTATGAAATAACTGCTATAATAGTCAAGGCATATCTTCACGCTATGTACACTTGAATGCTAGCTTAATCAAAACACGACACGTAAGTATGTATGCTGTAATTTTCTTCCGAAACTAATATGACTTTAATTATTGCTGGGGAAAGCATAAAACAATTTTGTCTTTAATTTATTCTTCTCTGATTTTAAAGCTGAATCAATTTAAGTTGATTTAAATTATGTTTAAATGTTTTCCATGTTTACATTATGATTTATTTCTGCATATAATGTAAATACTAGTATGGATATTACCTAGAGTAATTTTGTATTCTGTTAAGAATTGTAACCGTGATTTTGTGAAAAAGTTAATTAAGAACTAAATCAGTCTATATGGCAAGCAAACAAACCACAACAAGCAACAGACACAAGACCAAAGAAAAAACATTTATTGTTTCTTTGGATAAACATAAAAGTTATTAAATTGCATAAACTTAATTTTAAATTATATTTTGTTTTTTCTTTGTCTCTTTGACCATGCAGTAAAGCTGAATAAATAACAACAACTAGTTTTAACAATTATTATGTAAATGTGACACTTGCAAATATGTCCCGCCAGAAGTTTATTGTGCGCCTCCACTGTGCCTTTTCCTTCTTACGCTCAGGTGACTGTACACAACAATAAAGTTCTAAAATTAATCTTTTACCATTAATAACAATCTTTTTCTTTGGTATTGTGAATGGAAAAAAAATAATTTAGTTTTTTTTTTCTTATTGTAAATTTTTTATTAAACTTACCTTAATCCTAGGCATAGTGACAGTAGGTGGTTCAGCTACTGACACATAGATGCAGGCAGATTTGTTCTTTAATAGTTGTCCGGTGTAAGGCATGTACTCCTCTGTTACAAAGTCGTAACGGAGGCCATCTATCACCATGAGGACAACACTGTTCTCACCAGAACTATAAACTTGCTGGCCATCAATACTGTAAGATTCAAATTTGGAATGTTTTCAATGTGATTCTTATTAGTATATTTTTTAATCAACTAAGTAGGTATTTTATGGAATGTGCAATAAAAATAAACTATTTGGACTAACCTGACACCTTCTATGAAGTTTGGTAGATCATCCATATGTGACATTCTCCCTGAATGATACTTCAATGGGAAGAACCCATACAGGAAGAGCATTAAAGTAGCCAATGCGGCCACAAGGAGGCACAGGCCGGTCCATCGGTACTGTATCCACGGCAGCATGATGATCAACCTTTGCCGCGTTCTAATCACTTTGAACATCCACTAACACTAGTCTTGAGTTACCGGCACTCGACTTTACGCAACACATGTACGCTTTCGCTTCTTCAATGCTTCATATCATGCTTAGTAACTTGGTACCTACTTGATATAGGAAACCACATTGTGCAATGCGGATAAGGTTTGTTTCATTCAACACATTGCGACGTGTATCTGCCAGTTCACCTATTATCAAAAGCCGTATTTATGATGACAGTAGATACGATAATATTACTTGAGTGTTATCAAGAACACAACTGAAACACACTCCACTTCACTACATTAGTATCAAATGGTTATAGATGAAAATAAAGGAGTACTAAATAGGACTTATAAGAAGGTAGTATAATTCCGATAGAAATAAACAAAAGTTTACAGATGTTTTGAAAAATAGTTTAACCTGTGTTCCAATTGAACGAACCGGTATAGTGTTGTGCCACGTGATAACGATGTTGATTATTATTTTATTTTGTTTATTATGGATTGGCAGTATCTAAAAGTGTCATTTGCAATCTGACTTTTAATGTTTACAAACATAATATATTTCAACTAAGGATAATACTAAGTTTAACAGTGAAAAAACAAAATACTTGTATAAATCACAGATTTTTTTTAAATGTTAAACGCGTATTTTTTTCACAGTCGATTATCGATGCGGAAAAACACAACAATACGAACACCACTGGCTGCCAAGTCTCAATCATTTAATTGACGTGAGCAAAGGTGACAGCTGTGACAGTGACGTTAGAAGTTTTCGTTCAATATATAAGCTTGGAACTCGAGTCTTTTTATTATTTTGTAGAAATAAAATCATCATCATTTCTAACGCTTTTTTAACTAATGTATTGTTGTTTTTAGCTATAGCCTTAGAATATATTAATTATTGATGAGGTAAGCGGCAAACGAGCACATACAGGAAAAGCAATCACGGCTGGTATGGAATATACAAACACTACAGAAATTCAAAATACGTTGCTCGCCTTTTGGGGCTTGGGATGGACTGAAGACTATTGAGTACCTTATAATCTTACGTATGAGAGTCGTGGAAATATTTATTTACATACCAATTGGCTACAGAATGAAATACTAGTGGTTAGATTATTCGTTTATGTCGAATTGAATTTCTAAAAAACCAGGATTAAACAGCATTCTTAATAAATGGACAGTACCTAGAACACAAAAAAGCACGTTAAAAAATACAAACTTTTCAGTTTTATAATATGAGCTTCAGCCTTCAGTCTTTTCCTATTCTATGTTTGTTATGCTGTCTCTCAGTCGGTTCTGGGTTCTTACAACATCTAGGTACAGAAGGCATATGAGGTGTGAACAAGTGTTATGTTATATTCTGATGTGCGTTACCATAATGACATTTAGCTCGATAGCCGCCATTGATTTTGTCTCAACCACCGAGGCTAGACTGTAACTAGTCAGCACCACCAAATTCCATAAAGGGTGGCTGCCCCATGACGGGTAAAATAAAACGTACCTACCCTTATTCAAATATTCAACAGTTATGGCATTAGTCTTGTCTAGCAGGGGTATAGCCCTGTGGCCTATTCATAACTTTTAGCCTACTTACTAGAAGTGGTTGTAGTAATACATATACTTCGATCTAGCGCACTTATTAAATTAACTATAATATGTCCGTGCACGTTCTTAAAGACATGTTTTTATGTAGACACGACATGTGCCTATTAGGATGTTGAAACATAATGCATTTTCTTCACCATATTTAAAAAAAATGGCCATGTATGTAGCCGTAAAGGCCATCATTCTGTAGTACAATGTTGTATTACGTTGATTCATTTTCTTTTTACGTATTTATTTAAAAATAGACTTATATGACATCAAAAGAAAATGATTAACGGTGTATTTACAACGCAAATATTCAGAAAGCGTTGGCCGGAGTGATCTTCACGTCTAAAAATACAGTTTACAATCATTCATTACAAACTTTAGTATTGAGATAAAATGGTGACCGTTAGTTAAATATAGTGTATATTATCGTCAGCCTGTGACGTTGAAAGTTTGGATGATGAGTTGATGACAATACCTTTTTAATAATACGTAAATAGGGGGCGTTATCTAGAACTTCGTCGAAGCTACCTACGTTTATAGGAGTTTAATTTGGAATTTGTTCTCGAATGACTCCTACAGGTATTCAATGATTAGGTCCATTCTATTTTTTTTAATTATCATCATTATACGGTGACCATAATTTTTTGTACCTATATTTCGATCCGATTCGGATTCTTTAATATGCATGGCAAATTTTTGATGACTCTCGTCTGATGCGATTTTTCTTCTTGGCATCTTAATTTGAGATAGTTCGTAATTACTTACCTGCCAGTTGGTTGCACTAGTATTGTTTAGTTAATCTAGCGTCAATTCGCCATCATATTAGCCTAGAATTGAGGAACAGTTTCACTCCTGAGAACCAACTGACATTTTCTTCCAGTTGTACCTAATCACTAGATACATTATTTGTTGCATCATTCTATGTATGTATCTAATAAAATGCAGTTAGATCAGTTTAGAAATAAAAAAAGGTATTTCGTTTATGAATATGAAGACTAAATGAATTTGGAGAGGGAACGGTTGGTTTTTAGTCAGTAAGATTCTTTCACTCCTACTTCCTCGCTCCTCTTGTAACTGGGAGAAGTAATTTGCTGACATATACCTGTCAAAAAAAGCGCGGGAAATCATCCGCCATAATTTGTGGCTACCGTCTCAGGTATATCCTGTTTCCGATAGAAAATTGCATCGACCATAAACGGTAATATCTCACCCAGTCTGTATTACGGCACTGAATGATACTGTACGCATCGTTCCAAGTTCAAGGTGTATCCTCATGAATCAGCACGTGTGGGCCGCTGAAAGTTCTATTTAAATCCCATTACAAGCCGTTGGTTTCTAGTCTCGAGTCCAGAGCGGCGCGCGCCTGCAACGAACTAACAACCACAAAGGTGAATTGTTTTGTTGTTTTTTTTTCCATTGTAATTTCGCGTTTAGTGATTATCTGTTGTGATTTGTGCCTGTTAGTTTTAGGTGTCGCGGTTTTTAGGTATTCGTTTGTTTTTTCTCAATAAGTGAAGAATATAAACTTGTGGCACTAATTTGTTTTTTTACATACTTGCGAATTGTTATCGTAATATCTTTAAGAACTTACCTACTATGTAGTGTTTAAAAGTAGCGACATTTTTAGACTTAGTACCTACCTATTGATTTTGTAAAATTAACATTGTTATTTTTTCCTGAAGTTTTAAGGTAGATACCATCGTATCATTATAAGTATAGATACCATACACCCTAAACCTAGTTTAGGTAATACATTTAAAAAATATTCTGATCGAACTAAACACACACTTTATTCTTGCACTGTTTAGGGCCTCAATAGTACTTTATATGATTAGGTAGGTAAATGTTCATAGGTACTAGTAATACCAGAACTCTCATTGACTTAGGAATCGAAGTTGCCTTCATATCTAACTACGTCCAGGTATTTCTAAATTTAAAAATGCAAACAAACGCCTAACTATTTCGAAGTTGTCTCACACCTCACATTGTTTACATCAACATTCAATCTAATTTTATCGTATTACAAAACTAGCATGTCGCATAACTTTCATAGCGCGAAGAGATTCGGTTGGGGTTGCATCAGTTCTAAAACCGATCCCAGGTGACTCATACACTGTGGAATCGTTCCAGAATTTCGTTGATTATTATGTGCACGTATTATTGCCTTCAAACGTAAACAAATTCGGTAGGTAAACTACAACAAAGTTTCTCGGTTCAGCAATAAAATAATTATTTACTGCGTAATTTGGTTTCGTTCAACCAGTCTAGATATGAATCGATTTTGTGATAGGTAGGTACCAAATACATATATTATTTTAGGACCAAATTACATCATTGAAAGGTCAGGCACCATTTTTTGAAGGGGAAAATCATCACATGCGATCTCTTATCTGCTTACCCATGGTGGGGCAAGAGGGAGACTCTTAGAACAGTACACATAGTGAATAAAATTATTGCGCTTGAACTGCAACCTCGACTGAGGCCTTAAGATCGAAGGCCACATTAATTGGATTATTTTTAACGTTTTAAATTCGTAAATTCTTAGTATTAGTAGTAATAGTATTTTTGGAGCCGTTAAATAAATTCAAACGATTAGGCATAAAACCCTAGAACGATAACATTATTCTTATTCTTAAAAAAAAAACGTTAAAAATAAATTTAATTCTATTTACGTAAACAGTGTGTGCCTTCAATAACATTAGTCGGTCACTACAAGCGCATACAAGGTGTCCCTAATCACCAAAAATAAACGCGCAATGAAAATATCTACCATTTTATTTTCGCGGTAAATAGTCATAGACAATGTTGTTGATTTATTCCCGCCAACGTTTTTACGACGTTTCTGGAGGGAATCGACAACTGTAGATCCATCATGGCCGCTTTGATTGTTGTTTACGACTTGGCATCGTGGTAAGGTGATAGGACAGCTACGAAGAGGTTTTATGACATCATTTTGGAAAGATTTCATGGAAAACTTTCAAGGATGGGAGATAGATACATTTAAATTTACTTCGAAGGTAGTATAGTCACGATAAATTCAAAATGAATTAATGAAATCAAACAAATCTGACTAGATAGGTAGGTTTTCATATCTGTGTAGGTAGTTTGCTGGTTCGAGTACGTCGCTTATTTTCGGTTGTTATCATAGGTACCTAATGTTCCTAATCAACTTTTACCTCACTCCACAGATGTCGATAGTACCCCTGATGTTCCGTGATTGGTGGGATGAATGGGACAGGCCCTCCCGCCTGTTGGACCAGCACTTCGGCATGGGGCTGAAGAGGGACGACCTCCTCTCTTCCCTCTCAACTTTGCCCTCCTCCTCATTGTTCAGGAACTCCTACTTCAGACCCTGGAGAACGAGCCTGACACGACAGGAATCTGCCTCTACTATTAACTTGACGAAGGAGAAATTCGAGGTGGGTGGCAATATTAAATAACTAGGTACTCTCGCGCGGTTTCACTCGCTGCTCGGCTCCATTTAATCTTAGCGTGATGTTTTATAGCCTACAGCACTCAGGAAATTGTAGCTATCTATCAGTGAAATAATTTTGGCAATCCGATTAGTGGTTCCCAAGATTAAATTTAAGAGTTTGAATTTGAAAATAACAACTTACTCACGTGAATTACGAGCGCGCTGCTCGACCTGAAAGTAGTAGATCTTTTCTTAGTTAATTCGAGCAAGGGGTCTGATACGGTCAACTACGGTCAACTACGGCGGTAGAAGAAATTCAATAACATTCCCAGTCAAAAATAAAAAAATAGTAGAAATAGTAATAGTACCTGTAGTCTCTACTTACCTACCTATCTAAAAAGAAGGTACTGACATCTATCTAAAAATTAAATATAGATACAGATATTATACCATAAAACACCTAATGT